GAAGGAATGGAGAAGCAGAAGATTTGGGACGTTCTGTCACTTACCTGTATTGGCTGCTGAGTGCTTCAGGTGTGCGTTAGTGATTTCGTCTACAAGTGAACCCAAATTGTGCTCTACATGGAGACACTTGGGTTGGCTTTTACTGGAAATGTTCCGACCTTCCTCAGTCCTGAACAACTCCTGTCGAAACCAGACCGATGACGGGACTGTTAACCTGGCTAATATTATTTCCAGACAGTCTGAAGCACTCTTCTGTTTTATGAGACGTATAAATGCTTTACAAGACACATAAGTTCCCATCAGATGTTGTTGCACAGCTGCTTCGCACAGGCAGCTCCTGGCTACCTTCCAGCTGACTTTGCTTAGAGGCAGCTCAGCCCTACCAGCTGCGTGCCCACATCTGCACAGCCTTACACTTCTGCAGTCCTGCTGAGGTTTAGTGAGCACCCACCAGCAGCAGAGACCCAGGACCGAATCCTTGAGGGCTCTCTGTAGATGGCTGTCAGTTCTCTTTACTGACAGAAATGTAATTTGGTGCTTTATGGGACCAAGTAAGGCAGGAGAGATTCACCCTTGGACCTGCAAATGCATCATCTCTTCATCCTGGAAAGTGATTTTGCTTCTGACCAGCTTCACTTTCCCACTGACCAGTGTGAGCCACACAGCTCCCAGGATACTCTTAGAGGCCCACATGCTGTCCTTGTCAGTTGCTGAGCTTCTGAGCTGTTCATTCGTGCCCTTTCCTCCTGCCCCAGACAGTGAAAGGATTGCTGGCACTGCCCAGTAATTCATCTGCTGGCATTTTAATATGCATAGGTATGATCATCCGATTGCTACCATTGCTCTGTGTGAATCTGCTTCTAAAAATACGCCAATCCCTGCTGCCCTCCAACGCATGCATGAGATAACATACCATGCTCCCTGGCTGCTGGTGACACACAGGATGAAGGTAATCAATACAGTTGGTAATACAGCAAGCCAACAACACTCGTAATTACCACAGATTTCTCTTTCACTTAAAAAGCATCATCTTCCAGCCTGTGTTACCACAGCTTCAGCCATACAGTGCACTCAAACGATCATGCGCTTTCCCTGCATGAGCTAATTAGAATCCTGTTAGTTTTCCTGAGAGCAGCTTTTGAAGAGGACAGGTTTATTATGGGCACCCTAATCCAGTTCATGCTGTAGCAGGTGCTCAGTTGCTGTCAATCAATTATCAATTCGGTACTTCCACCGAAATTGGTAGAGATCTACCTGCTTGCATCGCTCAGGATACGATGCTGTGTTTTGTCTAGGGACCATCTTTTGAGTGCAAGGTGCAGCAAACAACTCCCTGCTAAGAAACCTGATCTTCCATGTTGCAGCCTCTCTTCTGCATTATTTAAATTGCAGGCAAAAGCACTGCGAGGCAGTGGAGGCTGCAAAAAATAATGTAATGCCATTCAAGTTTCGCCATTTAAAAAATCATATTTTGTAAGGATTTTGCATTATGAATAGTCCATCTTATCTCAGAGGATGTGCATGGCATTTCTCAACCTTATTGTCAGATATTCTGGCCCAAATAATGTCTGCCTGAGGAGTGAAGGGGGGATCTGGAAGCCTGAACTTCCCTGTTGTAGCCAAAAGTCCTAGCACTGTGACATGAGGTGTGTGCAGATCAGTGCCTTCCAAGTTACAGCAGCGATCTCTGAGAAGCTCTTGTTACGCCTCTGGGCTTCTCTCTCTCTGCCCAAAGAATAAGAGCAGTAATACTAAAGGAGGCAAGGAGCATTTGGGAATTAACACGAATTGTAAGGTTTGTCAGTGCTTTGAAGTTCTTCAGTGAGTGGTGCTAAGTAGAGTATCCCTTGGCTGATGTCGGTAAAGGACACGTAACGCTCTGCAGCCAGGAGCCACAGCCCCATCCTCTGGCTGGGGGGTTTGCAGTAATATTTCTTTCTCATGGAGAGGACCTCTGAGAAAAGGCAGTGGGAAGGACCAGGAATGGATGTAGAAGCTCTGTTCTGTATCCACTCAATAATACAGAGTTCCTCACAGCCTTGCCTCTTGGGGTCTGTGTTTTAGCTGTCGAAGCTCTTTGTATCTCTCTTACAAAGCTGGGGTGGCCTCCATGTGGCCATTGTACTTCCAAATTCAAATATTTTGTTTTCCTTAGGAGACTGCAATTAATCTATCACTTTCTCAGTAATGTTTCTTCTAGCAATGGCCTTATTCTGTCCTTACTTCTGGTCTGGATCTCTTCTAGGCAGTGATTATCTTTCCCATTACACAGAAAATTTCTTAGAGAGCAGCTAGGAAAGAATCCTCTTTGCCTCTTGGAGCATGCGGTGCCAGAGCTGCTACTGTAGCTTGTCATACATTACAACAATGTCAGCGTTGGCTTTTCTCCCTGCACAAGGAACCAGACGAAAGCATTGCCACTGAGCATGACTTGAAAACCTCCGGCGTCTCCACCAGCACTCGGTGACAGCCTGTTCTGCTGCAGAGCCTCAGCTCAGCTAGAGCAACACCTGCCCACAGCCCCTGGGCATCAAGGGAGCATCTCTTTGCTGCTAATATCAGCTTGTCTAGTACTAAAATCCTCCTCTTTTCTCAGCCACCGAGATTTGCTGTCCAGCTTCTAATTTACCAGGCTTTTGTTCCTATCCTTGAGAGTCAGGAGGAAGCCCTGTTCTGCAAGCCCCAGGAGGCAACGTGGCTCTGTTTCGCTGTCACTTCTGAGTGCCAGGAGTGACTTGCACATCTCCTTCAGCTGCGCAGGGAGCTGCTCAAAGACACCTCCTTCTCGGGGTCTTTCACAGAATGACCCCTCGGCATAACAGCCCTGGTCTCGCAAGGCACCAGCGTGGAAACTGAAGCCTCAGGATGAGAAATGCGTAACCCTTGGAGAATGCAGGAGCCGACGTGATGTTTCAGAGCCAGCCTCTATTCTTAGAAGAGCGGTGAAAGTCATCGTTTAAAAATAAGATCCACTGCAGTGCTAGCAAAGAGTCGTATTTGTGGTATTCCTGTGAGTAAATCCCTCAGCACGGATTGGCTTGGCTTCAAGATCAGAAACACTTCACCAGACTAAGGCCCAGCTGTGACGTGTGCCCGCTGCCGATCTGAATGGGAGAGAAGTGCACGTGGCACATGTTACACAGGTGCCCAAAGCTCACCCCTGTGGTTTCCTTGCTATTACAGGTCAAGAGGAGAGCTTTTCAGGTGCCTCTGTAAGAGTTGGTCCATGCCAGCAATGAAGTTGGGTGTACGTATTCCCTGTTTTGAAAATCCCCCCAGGCACTTAGCTGCTCCTGTTCTGCTGTCAGGCAGGGACTAGGTGCTGCCTTTGCACAAGGCGGATGCTCTGCCAAGGTATAGCCAGGCTTTGAATCTTGTGCAGAGGCCTTTCTAACATGCCCTTGCCTGAAGACATCAAATGGGTGTGAACTGATGCACCGAGAGAGGTTTGGGGCTCACATTCAACCTATCTAGGTATGCCAGAGCCCTTTGAGACATGCCTCGTAAGGGAAACTTGCACTGGATCTCGTCTGAAACAGGACAAAATTCAGAGTATTTCTGAACGGGGATATGATGTTATATGTCTTCCAGCTCCAACTGAGTGCCAAATGTAAAAATCCAACCCTCAGAAACCACAACCAAGATTTATTCTAAGGAGAAGTGCACCCCCCAGGGAACGGATGGTTTGTGTGCATCCATACATGCAACTTCTTTGTCCATGGTGAGTGTAACACACGTGAATTTTACCAGGGAGTTCTTTGCTTGCTGGAGGCATTATCAAAAGACCATAGTGGATCGGGTTTTCTCCCGTTCAGCTGGAAGCTGTGTGCAGAAAGAAAATTCAGAGCACTCCTGGGGTCACAGAGCACAGATCCGGCCAAAGCTCTGGACACAAGGGAAGGCAAGGTGAATTTGCACCTCTGCAACCTCACTACCTCCACTCCTCTGAAGGAGCTACTGAGACTGAGCCAGCTGTCTGCACAGTGGCAAAGCTCCTTCCTTGAGAGGCTGTACTTGGCTCCTCTGCCCAGACTCTGTGCTGGGGCATTTGAAAGCACCTGTGAACGTGAAGTCTCATCTAAAGTCCATCATGGTTACTGGGAAACTCCCGCTGACTCAGGACCAAGTTGGTGTTTCCATTTGATGCGATACAAATTTCTGGCTGTTGGGTGCATTCCTATCTGTCCTCCCTATTTCTGGTTTGTATAGACATCACCTAATACTGTTTTTATCTTGGAATCTCTAGATGTCTTCACGTATCCCCTTTTGGGACTGTGTGTAGTAAGCAAAGGGCCAAATATTAGGCTGTGAGCAGGGATGGCCACAGATCCATGCTTGTGGGGAGCACCTGGTTCTTTTTCATTTTGTTGGGAGAAAAAAGGCAGAGCTGGCTCTAGTCAAATCCCATTCATCTGCTACTTCCGTGCTGTTTGGATTTTGAGGTTTCACTCAGAAACCTTGCTCATTTCTTACAACTGGATGGGGACTTCCTCTTGCACTTACTCAGGTCAACGTGAACTTTAGCTAGGATCATGCCAACAGGTAAAACCTTGGATCCCATAATATCATGTCTGGAGCTGATCTCGTGGTTTCTCTTACCACATAACCACTACCCACGAACCCAGTCCCACCAGAGTGAACTCTTTTATCCTATGCAAAAATCATCAGCCATCTGCATCTCCTGTCCCGGCTGTAAGGCCTGAGTTGTGCCTGTAAACTCTTGAGGTTTACACTGCCCGGTGATGTCAGTGGGAGGCTGGCAAGTTATTCTTTCCTCTAAAAAGTTGACTGTTCAGTTCTGCATAGAGCATTTCAGTTTGCAAGGAGTTTTACACAAGCTGCTATCTGTGATACATTTTTCATTCTAAAATTTCACACTACAGTTTTATGAGGGAAAGAGTTAGCCGTGTCTGAAAAACAGAAGAAAGAAGCTGAAAATTAATAAACAGGGTGCATAATGAGCATGAATAATTAATATAAAAGACAAAAGACAAACACGGTGAAGATTTCACATTTTATTGTTATTAAAAGTTAATTATGAAATTGGCACAACACATAAAAATAGATCTGTGGTGAATGATACACGTTACTATTATTGCCAGGTCATTTCGTGCACACCCTCACTTCTTAAAATCAGACAGTAATAAATATAAAACATTTCATCAGCTGTGAAACCAGTGTGACTGCAGCAGGGAGAGACTGGGCTTTCTGTTGACTCTACTCAAAGAGATAATGCAGGCAGAAATAGTCCTCTATTCATACTTAAAAATAAATTAAGGAGAATGAAAATAACAGATTTTTAGAGTATGCCCAAGCTGAAAATAACTGGAGAGGGAAGGCTGGAAATACCCCTTTTTGCCAGACCTTTCTGCATGGAAGTCAAAAGGCATTTTGCCACGGACTCTAAAGGCAGCAGGATTTAGCTATTTGTTGACAGGCAGATGGAAAGACGTAGCAACAGAATCTGGGGAGGACCTGTGGCAAAGCGTGAGTTTATTATTTTGATCTTGCACATGCTACTGAATCTCCTCCTTGTAGTAATTGTGCATGTTGGTAACAGCAGTGATTGCTGGGAGGAGCTGGGAGGGTGTATCAAAGCCAGATAAAAGCGTCAGCAGCTCGTTTTTTTTCTCCCCATTTGGGTTGGCCTTCCTTCTAACCCCACACACCATTCATTGCAAAGCAACTTCTTCCCTGTTCACTTCCCGGTCCCTGTGAGAAAATCAGAACAAAACCCGGCAAAAAAAATCTCACCAGGTCACTAACTGTTCCTAGACTTGGGTGGCCATACAAAGAGCTTATTTAGGAGCCTCTTTCAAATAAGGCAGGTAGGGACATGAGCCTGCTCCTGCCTTCCAAACCTGTCAGCAATGCTGATTTTTGCTGCGTGTCCCGCTCTGGGGTTGCAGGAGCTTGTGGCTAACAATGTGTCCAACACCCAGCCTGGGGAAACCCTCACACAGCTCCACAGCTCCTCTTGTCTGGCTCTGGAGTGTCCACGACCTCCCTCTAAACTCGTGCTCCATTAGGACTCCAGCACATCACACTGCCACAACCCTACTAGCAAACCTGGGAGCGCTGTGGCTACTCTGCTCTCATTTCCTCCATGCTGAATGTTTTTAAATCCCGGCAGATAAAATCTCAGTGCTGCTCTCAAACAGGAAAATCTCAGGGCTTCGGTCTCAGCCTCACTTCAGGAGAGTGACAAGGGTGGAAAGCTGGCACAGCAGAATGGTGAATCAGGCTCTCTCTTTGGTTTTCAGGCTGTTTACTCAAAACAGCCCTTGAGAAAGATGCTATGCCTCGAGCAGATGTTACATTCAACCGGTTTAGCAATATTACGCCTATTTTTTCCCAAGCTAGGCAAGGAGGGGAAGGAGAATATAATGTATGTTAGTGCAAGTTCACATAGACAACACATGAATATTTAGTACAAAATGTTCTTTCAAGGTGGGGCAAACATTTCTAGTTGTGACACAAAAAGAAGGTATTTGGTAACATTTTCAACAACTTGGCTGTGAAAAAGCATATAAGTGGAATATGTTTAGACACAGACTACCTCACATCACCCTGAAGTATTCAAGGCTCTTTCTGAGTAGGCAAGAAGCTCAATATTTCTTAAAAAAATATGACATCAGTTTAATCACAGCCAATTACAGACATAACTAAGTAATTTGGTGGTTTTTAAAGCTATGCTAAATTGAAGGATTTTACTCCCCACAGGTTTTACCTATTTGAGACTTGTTTCACTTCAGAACTAATTTCCTTATTCTGAGGAAACCAAGGAAGTATTCAACTAATAAATTCTAACATAAGATTTTCAAAAGTTGTCTACTGTGAAACATTTGTGTCTACTGAAAAACATTTTGAAAACCTGTCCCAATTTGAAAACAGTCTGATTTCAGGTCTGGTAGGGCTTATATGCAACATGAACATCTGAATAATCCCTAAATTCTGGAAACAGAAGAATTCAGACACAAATTTTGCAGCACAGTCTCCCATCTTAGCCATTTTGATGTGGCTTAAAGTCTAACCGAACAAAAAAATTTAAGGCCCCAGTTTTCTCTGACTTACACTGCACACAGAAGCGTTCAGCCGGAGCTTCTGAATGCAGTTCGCCAGCGTAAACCAAGCGTGGAACAGCCCTTGGCTTCACAGGCATCCTCCTTCCTGCCATAGCCTGGTACTGCCCAAGAGAAAAAGAAAAAGGCTTCCAAATTTCTGTTAAACAGACAAATAGACATGGAAACCCTAACTGTGACTTTCTGCCCTCTCCTGCTCCTGGCGCAGGACCAGGACAGCATGTGGGACCCCAGGCACGGTGGTATCAGCAGGCCCTTGCTGCTGACAGGGACCTGTGTAGAGTTCATCTCAGCATCCCTGGCCTGTGCTTTGTCCTGTGCCAAGCCCCCGCAGGACAGGATTAGTCCTCGGGCTGCACTAACCTACTGCAGCTACCAGGAATCCCCAGTGGCTGAAAGTTCAGGTCTGCCAACCCCCTTATTATGGGCTACAGTAAGGGCACGGAGGCAGAATCTCTCTTGGCTTTGTGCTGTCTCTTTTGGTTTTGTGCTGCAGCAGGGTCAGGGTGCAAATCTCTCCAGCCTCTTATTTTTTGGCCCTCTGAACTAGCAGGACAGCCTCAGGCAGCGCCACTGCATGAGGAAACCTGGCGTTACCTATACAGCTGGAGACAGCAATAGGCACGGTCGGCACTAAACATCTCTCCAAACAGAATTCATCTTCTGCCTGCGTCTGCTTTGGAAACTGCAAACCATGTCACAGCTGGAGAAAAATCCAAACAGCTCATGTAGAAGCACCTTTCCCTTGGATTTTTATTATCGTCATTTTTAAGAATATATTTTGTACCAAAACACTGTCAGCATTCTTTATACAATGGAAAATGACACAGTCATCATGAATCATGTAAAAGAGTAAAAACAGAGCAAGACAACATTTCATACCAAGGTTCAGTCTGGAGTACAAACAGAATCTGATGCACAACTTAAAAGTCACACACCAGATAAAAAGATCATCTGGAAAACAATAGATTCTCACTTAATTTGGAAAAAAAGTCAGGAGACTTCCATGTTAAGGCTAAAATTTTAATTTTTACCCCTCGTTTTGTAGGTGGCAGCCTGATTCTTAACTCACTCACACCAGCACCATCCCCCTGGCTTTACAAAGAGATTTGCACTTGCATGAAGTAAGAATCAGGCTTCTATGCCTTTGTGCTCGGAGGACTCTGATTGACCTCAACAGGCTTTGGACTAGAGCCACAGTTGGAATTTCAGCTTGCAGTCTAAGGCTTCTTAACTGCAGGCCAAATTAGCGCAAAATGAGGCTTTGCAACTGGCATTCTACCCTTCACTTTGGATATTCCAGTTCTGGTTGCCTTAAAACCCTTCTTTATTGCAAGTTTCATATAGTTCTGTTTGTGAGATATTTTTTTATCTCTCTCTTTTTTTTTTTTTTTTTAAATACAGTGCTACAAAGGATGTTTTTGTATTCTGTGTCCCTATATTACATGTTTTCAAAATTGCCTAAATATATGTTTATATCATGATTATAACTACTCAGAAAGACCTGCTATAGTCTACTGTGAGCAGCCAAGGAAAAAGTGTATTTAGTCCTAAAGACGTCAAGAAAAGTGGTTGTGTTCATTTATAGTGTAGCGCAATGACTGTGTTTATACAGCTATACCTACTATTTAAAAAGCTACTTGAAAAGTTATTATTCATGTGCAGTAGCTGATTTTCAAGCATTAATAACTTGGCTGTCTAGACAAGTTTTAATTGTCATATCAAAGGCCGAATATGTTCTTAAACGAGTGCAAAAAAATCTCCCATCTCCCCTGGAAAGAGGCTGGTTCTCTTGCTGAGCTAAGAGACTGCCAAATGTTTCTTCTCAAGTTATAAAAGCATGGCTAAAACTACAAATCGGTTGTTTAAACTTTAAAAACAGATTGACTTTAACTCAAACCTATCCTGTGCAGCAAAGTTAGTAAGCCCTGAAAAACAGTTTTTAGTGAATATGCAGAGCTCCCCCCACCAACTACCATGCCCGCATTTTCCCAGGGCCTAGAGGGCTCCATTAAAATGTAACTAAACGTTCAATAGGAAACATGATTTTTCAAGAATAATACGTAGAGCTTGCCCAAAGAACCTAAGACATTTTGTACATTCAAAATGTTTACATTTTGCTGTTCTTAACGATCAGTAAGATTGTTCATTTTTACCAATACATACAATGATTATAAATAAATAAACTACAGATAAGCTTTAAAAATTGTATTAACAGTACATTGTGCAAAAACTTGTAACAATCTACATTCTAGGCAAATACCCTGACTAAAATATACAGGCTTGTGTCCTGACACCCTCATTCAGTTTTTGCACAGTCCTTGGACCAAATCAGCAGCTGGCAGCAATCAGCGGGATTCCATCCCAGGCCATGGAGGTTAGCTGATTAACACCAGCAGAAGATCTCACCCCCAGGGGTGTGCAAAAATCCCACAGAAATCAATGGGAGTTGTGCTTGACTAAGGACTAAGCAGTTTGATTGTACCCCAGGAAAGTGGATAGGAGAGCTGCCATTGATTTCCGTGGAACCAGGCTCAGGCCCTGGGTAAGGACGTCAGCATGTGGCCCTACGTTGTGCTACACTACTCCACTTCAGTGCAGAAACAATATTTGCAAAAGAAAAACTTTTCGTCGGTGTTGTCACTGCTGTTCAGTAACCGCTTTTAGTACAGCGTTTCAGAAATTGCCTTTCTGGGAGATTTGAAAAGAGACTGCAAGTCTTTCTGAAGCCATTCCGATTTGATTATCCAGCACAGGTGGGCTATTTTGATCCAAGAAAAAATGGCTCAATGTCTATCAACCAACAGAGTTCTTCGTTAGGATAAACAACAGCCCAGTTCGTCAGCACGGGAGTGAAGAACTGCACATGGAAAAGGAACGGGGCAGCCTTCCTACTATAGTTGTGTCCAGAGCCGGCTGTCACTTCTCCGAATGGACGATGGCACCTGAGCCGGTTTGGAATCTACAGTCCTAACAAGTTCAGCCAAGTTTTGTAAGCTGAAGGTCTCCGTTTATCTTTATTGTGTCAATTGCTGACAGTGTTTCAATACGGTGGTAAAAATCAAAGAGCTGATGTCCATCCACAAATATCCTAAAACGGGGATGCTCACAAAGTATCTCAACCTGGAAAAAATAAAATAATGAACCGTGTTCACAACGTAACTGGGAAGTTATTTCACAGGACACAAAAAGCTGCGGATTAGCCTTTAAGTAGTGTTGGTATGGTTACATATCTTGCTGCTTACATGCTGTGCAATGAGAGGCCTGAGACCAACTTGCCCCCCTGACCCCAGTCACACTAGGATGGATCTGCTCACACCTCACAGGAGCGTTAAGCCAGTCTCACACTGTCCCAGAAGGGAGGACCCTGGAGCCCAGTCCCACCGCTCTGCAGATTTCAGTCCCACCAGGGAGGTTTTGCCTCTCAGAAGAATGCCAGAAACAAATCCAAACTGCTAATTACAGGGGGAAGAAACTGTATCTCCAACGCAAATCTTGCACTCCTTGCTACAGATTTATTTTTTTTTTTGCTACAGAATGAGGGGGCAGTTCCCTCTGCAATGCCTTCCACACTTCAGTTAATTCACTGGAAGGGAGCGAACATGAGAGGAGGGCTCAGTTTGCCCTCCCCTCCCACACGCTAGAACTGCACATACTCACACAGCTGCTGCAAAACTAAAAAGCCTGCACCATGGTGGCTGCACACAGCCTAGGACTGCCTGTTGGACTAGGGGCTGCAGCCAGGGAGATGCAGGACGGCTTCAATTCAGCCAGAGAGTTCACACGAGGCACAAACCAGACCAGGGAAGGACACAGCTCAGCTCTCCTCCTACAGCCCTGGAGAAATGCTCTGGAAAAGCCACAAAGACTGGTGCCGGACCACCCATTTCGGACAGATCCGGAGATTCCTGATACTGGGGGCGGCTTGAGAGGATGTCTTACACTTAAGCTTTGCTGGAGCTGCCCTGCCAGGAAGCTGAGATGTGAAGGCACAAAATGTGCATTTGTTGTACAGGCCCTTGGAGACCTCCAGCTCTGGACAGGCTGAGAAGAAAATCTGCAGGGAAGTCATGTGTAAATCCTCAGTCGTTTCTAGAGGCTGCTAGCCTGGAATGAAGCGCAGCTTTCAGGCAGAAATATTACAACAAATAAAAACGAGAATGAGGGCTAATGATAAACTGACCAAGCCTAATTAGCCCGACTGATTGAGGGCACATCACGCTGGAAGAAGTGGCAGTGGACTGCCCAAAAAAACACTGCCCCATGGGGAGCTGGTAGCATGCCACCTAACAGGGAAGAGCCCGTGCTGCCGCGTAGCTCTTGTGTCACTGCAGCAGGTGCATCCAGCCTTAGGCCTCGTTATGTAAAAGATATGGTTAGCCTCAACACTGCTTACGATCCATTTTTACAGATCACCCTGGGCCACGCCAGAACGATAATTGAACTGGATGACAAGTAATTGTCAAGAACACTTAATGGTCCTGCTTAATTTAGTCATTGAGAGGGAGACCGTCAAAGGTGCAAAGTCATCCGGGAGTCTAAATTCTGCTTGTGCATTTGGGGAAAAAAGAAGAAAAAACACAAAAACAACTCCCCTCCTGCAGTATCTCACACTGAATATCGCTGCCCTCTGACGTTAGCTGTCATTAGTGGGACAGCCACAAAACAAGCTCTGGATCGTTTGTCCTGCTTGTCGGAGGGCCCAGCCACCACCCGTGGCAGCAGGTAGCGTAACCCTCGCAGCCAGAGCGAGACCCAGCCTCCAAGCCCTTTCAAGTGCGTTTCCCACGTGCGCCAAAGGGTGTTGCCAGCTCGGAGAGGAGAGTTTGCAGAGGGAAGTGGAACGCAACCCATCCACAGCAAAGCCAGGCAGCGACACCCTCGCGAAGCCCAAGCTTCTGGGGAGACAGTGAGCTTTTGGGGCTGGGGGAGATTATCTTGGGGGCGAGGTGGATTAAGAGAGTTGGGCAGCTGGTCAGAGTGCTGGCATTCAGCAGAGGGGCGGCAAGGTTTCATAAGAGGGGCGGGGAGGAGGAGGGCTTTTCTGGGTCAGCCGCATGGAGAAGGCGAGCAGCCTTTTTCCTCAATGTAGCCAAAGCCGCTGCGAGAGAAGAAGCCCTCTGCAGCTGCACACTTTGTTAGTCCTGATTTGCACAGACAGCTCCACATAACCACAAACACTACAGATGGGAATCTGCTTCTAGGTCAACCCAGTCCATCCTTGCGGCGCAGGATTGCCACGCGCACCGTGTTCAAGTGACTACCAGCTTAAATTTGCCAGGAGATTTAATCCCAAGGTCCAGAAAAGAATACCTCCATTGCTTAGCTATTTAATCTGCTAACACAAAGGGCTAGAGCCAACCTCGGTGTAACATCCCCGGAGAAAAAGGATGAACACGAGCCTCATTAGCAGCGCTAAACTGCAAACACTACGTCCATTACGGAAACCATCAAAACACGCGGCAGTCCCACGGAGTATTTACATTCTCCAGTAATAACTTGAGCTGCAGTAATAACATAGAGGCACTTTTTAATTTATAGCTATAAAACTAAGCTCAGGAAGCGCGCTTCATCACCCGGCGTTACAACCTCCACCTTGTCACAGCACCCCGCGACGTGTTTATAGCCCCGTCGGATCCGCCTGCGGACGCGAGCGGCCGCAGGAGCGGGCCCTGCACAACTCCTGATCGATCCCAGCAAACCGGCCAGAGACGAGCCAAAACCTCCCCCGAGATTTCACGAGAGGCAAGCCGCGTCCTGCCGCAACGCCGCTCGAATTACAGCGGATGGGAGACGGTGCGTGCCCGGCGCTGCGACCGGAGTACTCACCCTAAAAGGCTGGTCCGGGATAAAGGGAAAGTAGGGAATCGATGACTGCTCTTCCCCCCATTCTCCAGCCACGCACGAGTTCCTGACAAACTGCCTGTCGGTGAACACAGCCTTCAGCTCGATGGCTACGTCCGCGGGAGGATCTTCCGACTCCCCGCAGGTCAGGCTGATGCCAAAGCTGCAAGACACACAGAGCTGCTCGCATTCGGCCAGAAACCAAGCAGACAAACCCCAAAAACGCAGCCGGGCTGATTGCTCGGCTTATTAAAACCATCAGCATCGCAGCACGGGGATGGGGGGGGACAGCTCAGCTCATCCGGGGAATGCCTCGAAAGCGCGGCGGGGACAAGGACACGGCCATGGCACACGTAGAGGTGCGTGTGCTGCATCCATAAGCGCAGATCTGATCCCAGGCCAGTCCTCTACCCCCAGTGAAATCGTGGGAAACAGGATCCCATACAGAAATGCCCCCTCTATGGGTCAAGGGAGAAACCAGCACGCTGTATTTAAGATGATAAAAATAAGAAAAAAAGGGGGGGGGACCGGGGTTGGGGGACCGGGGTTGGGGGTCCCTCCTCGCCCCTGCCGGGCTCTCGCTGGGTTTTTACCTTTCGGGGTTGAGGTCCACGATGCCCATGACCAAGATCTTCTTTCCCGGCCTCATGCCTCCCTTGATGTGCCCGCAGAAGGGGACGATCTGCAAAGGACAAGGGGGCGGCGGGGGTCACTCGGCATCGAGTGGCCAAAACCCGGGAGGGATTTTTAGGGGGGGGGGGGGGGGGGTGAAGAAGGCTCAAAACCAAACGGAAAATAAAAAAAGCGATTTACCAGGCGAGGGAAGTACACATCAGCTTGCACCGGGGATCCCAGCGAGTTGTTTAAATGCCCGTCCTCGATTTTCTGCAGGTAGAAAGGAGAGCGCTGAGGCCCCTCCCGGCCGCAGGTGCTCACCCCCCGGCGGCACCGGGGCGGCTCCCCCCGGGGCTCCCCCGCCGCAGGTGGCGGCCGGGAGGGGCTGAGGCTGCGGCTCCCCCCCCCCCCCCCGGGTCCCCCCTCCCGGAGCCCCGCTGCCCGTCCCCATCCCCATCCCGGTGCCGGTGGCACTCACCAGCGCGTCCCGCTCGGCCACGGTCCCCGCCATCTTGTGCGAGCGGCGGCGACGGGGACGGGGACGGGGACGGGGAGGGGGCAACGGGGTAAAGGGAGGGGAGCGGGGGGGAGCGGGGAGGATCGGGGGGGAGCGGGGGGGATCCGGGATCCGCAGCCCCGGCGGCTCCGGGGGGGGCAGCGGCAGAGCCGGAGAGGAGCCGGTGACAGAAGTAGGAAGGCGAGGAGGAGGAGGAGGAGGAGGAGGAGGAGGAGGAGGAGGAGGAGGAGGAAGAGCAGAAGGGGAGGTGGCCGGCGCTGCCTCGCCCGGCGGGGAGCGAGGAGAGCCCAGCCCCTTGGCCTGGGGGGAGCCGGGCAGGGCGGGGGCTGCGGCGGCTTCCTCGGCTCCGCAGCTCTGCCCCGGGCTCCCCCCGGCTGCAGGGGGGACGCGGGGACCCCGGCCCTAGGGAGGGCTCGACCCCTCCGAGGAGGCAGGGAGGGGATGGGGTCCCCCGGGGAAGGGGGCTGTGGGGCCGGGAGAAGGGCTGGGGGAGGCTGAGAGAGGGCCCTGCGTTTTGATGAGCTCAATTCTTTGTATTTTCCTTTTCCTCAGGTCCCGAGTACCCCCCCGCAGGAGGCTGGAGCAGGCGATTTGGGTAACTGTCCCTCGTGAGCTGGCCGAGGCCGAGTCCCAAGGGAAGCCCAGCGTTGGTGGGGCCGCTGTGGGTGGCAGCGTGGCCCGTGGCATCAGGCAGCGAGGCTGTGTTTAGGGCTGCGTGTTGTTGGGCGAATTGCAGCCTCTCGGCCAAGTCATGCGGCGCGGCTGCTTTGAAATCCTCGCCGCAAACTTCTTAATGACATAAGCTAATTGTATAAGTCGGACGGCTATCGATTGCTCATTACGGAGGGGGGAGCTCCTATTGACATGCACATCCCGTGGTTGCACAACGTGAGGGGTGTACGGGGATGTCCCTGCACCCAGCTGTGTGAGCGGGGGGCTCCCAAGGACTCCCCAAATCCTCACGGAGAGACCTGCAAAGCTGCCTCAGGCCGAGGCCACCAGCTCTGCTTGGGATGCCAGGAATCCCCTGCCTTCACCATAGCACAAGTGACCTGTCCCAGCAAGCATGCTGTAATGATGCTGTTGATGAATTTAGGGTCCAGGGGGGGATTTGGAGAGTTGTCACTTCCTCACAACTACGATGTGGTGGCATAAACATCCCTCCAGCAACGTGACACGGGACCTTGCACGTGTCAGCTGGCTTCCCTGTGCCTCCACTTAACCCATGCGTAGGGCTGGGTGGATGAACGTTGCCGTCCTTCCTCCGCCACGGCGCTCTGAGGATTAATTACTCACGCTCTGTAAAGTGGTGTGGAAGAAGCTAAGTCATTGCAGTGTTTAGGCTTTCAATATGACGGTGCACGTCTGTTGGGAAACGCTTCCCAATCACTAGGTGATGCCATTCGAGAAATCAAGAGCTACTGAGAGCAAGGAAAGATTGTGCAAGTGTTTAGATGCTTGGCTACTTTTTCAGTAGCGTCCACTAATTTGGCGATGTTTTCATCGTTGGATGCCCAGTGGAAATGGCTCATCAAAGCTCACGTTAGTGTGTATAGCTCTGCTGGAAGTCACGTACAGAAGCCGTGTCTTCTGCAGCTGTACCAGCACAATTAGGCACGAAGGCAGTGGGGATCCCTGTGGCCCTGATTTTGGTCTTGAAAAACCACTGGACTGTTTTCATCGTGCCAAAACATTGGGTGTCAGCCCTCACCACATGGAAAAGCACCTTCCTCGAATACTGAATCCATAAAGAGCGCGGTAACGTGAAACTGTTGTGCATGGGAAATGGACGGCTTGCGAGCGGTGAGCCGAGTGCCCTCACAACTTCACCACAAAGAGGATCCGGAGGGAATCTGATGGTTTGTTCAGCTCTGGTGCGCTGCTCACCTCTGCCCTCACCGATGCTGATGCCATTGTGCTTTTTTGTGCTGGCCTAAGAGAGAAGGGGAGTCACCCAAAGGTTTTGCGTTTTTATTTGGAGGTACAGTGTTACAGGATGCCCAGAGAGCTCTTTTCATAACACATCATCTTTTCCTCTGCTGCACGGGGAGCTGCTTTATTGAATCAGATTAAATTTATTGGACATAAAATCAGGCCAGCCAGTACTTTGTGCCAAAGCTGGAGTTCCTGTGAGGAGAGAGGTCATTATTATGGCTCTGTTCTGTAGCTGTTTTTAATTGAACTTTCTCATTTTGGAATAATTAAATAGCAAGACTCGGCCATTTGGCCAGCTGCTTTGCCTTGTGTTTGTCTTCTTTGGCGTGTTTTCCAAAAACGAGCACAAATGCAACGTTTGTTCTGTTGGCCGTGGCAGGAGTGACTGGAACAACCTGTGGTATGAAGCTATGATGGGGGAGGATGTTCCCATGTTTTTGAGGCTGGTCTGTGCATTTCTGTTTCTCTGCAATGTTCTCTTCTCACCCTACAGCAACCCAGGAAGACACTGAAAATCCTGTTTGCACCACGGACAAGGCGAGGCAGCCAGAGCAGCTTTGCCCCCTTGTGCCACTGTCCTGCCTGTGTGACGGCTGCTCCTGTGGTTTCTTCTAGGGAGGTGTTCTCCAGCAGAAGAGGACTGCCTACCTCTGCATAGATCAGCACTCAGGGGAGTAGGGCTACGTTTCTGGGCAGCACTGTGCCTCCCATCCATGGGGGAGCTTCCTTGAAACCCACTTTGCCCACAGGTTTTCCTATGCAAAGGGCTGTGGGGTGCGTGCCACCATCTAAGCTACTGCACTCATTCTTTTCCAAAAGGAGAGGTCTGAGCCAAATCTGTTCCCTCACCCGTGCAGTCCTGTTAAACCATCTGCACAGAATGGGCCCCGTGTAATATTTGCACCAACCTTCTCAACGGGGAAGGTCTTGTTTCATGCTTGAGGGTCTGAGCTTGTAGGTCTGGTGGTGGAAGCTGGAGCAACACGACAAATATTTTCCCTCCACTGAAATAATGCCAATATCTACGTCTCTGAACTTGACAGGTTGGCCAAGCACAAAGCCCTTTGTGGATTCGTACCCCCATCCAGTTCTGGGCTCGTACAGCTCTTTGCTTGGTGGAGCCTGGGACTCCTGAAATACTGAGAATTGGAAAAAGATTAAAAAGAAGTGGCCCGGTGTGAACACCATTTGGGAACAGTTAATGATGTGCCCAGCCCAGCCACCAAAGCCATTGCTGAGAACTGGCAAACCCAGAACTTCATCTTAATCCCAGCACCTTGTATCTTGCAGCCACTCCCTTTGATGATTTAAAGAGGTGTATCTAATTCGTAGCTGGCCTTCACCGAGAAGGAATGCAGCACGATCGCAATTTTGGTGTGGTATAATTACCCTGCCTTTCTTGCCCCATTACCACTGACACTGCTCTCCTCACGCCTGGCTTTATAGGCTGACTTGTACAACCTCTCGGGTTTGTTTTGCTTTTTTAATGACGTTGGTGAGAAGATGGGAGGTGTTTGCTGGTTTCGTGGAAGCTTCCTTTGGTTTCTGGGTGGTATGGCACTCAAGTCCTCGTTCCCGTAGGACTGAAAGAGTTGAATAATATGATAAAGGAGAAAGTCTGGCAATAAATTCAATTCAGTGGTTTCTCCTATCAGAATTATTGAGGTGCTGATAAACAACCGGCTTCTTTTCTTAGACTTTGTTGGCTTTGCCACTGCAAATCATTGGGCAAACGTCTAGGAGAGCAGACCCGACCTCATGTAAATTTGCCCAGCACAGGGGCCCAAGGCAGAGGTTTGGAGAGGGTAGTGCTGGCGGCGTGTAGGGCTGGGTGGAAGTCAGCAACGGGCTGAAGAACCAAGTCGGAGACATGGACTTCTCTTGCCATGCGTCTTCAAAGAGCCCGAAGAAGGAGATTCCCTTGGCACTGTGTACCGAGACTAAAGGGCAAGGTACCACGTACCCACAGAAATATTCACGGCCCTGCCCTCCCACACCCACCCACGGGAATCAGAGATGACAGTTAGCAGTACGGACAGCGCAGGGAGGGTGTCCAACGTGCCTGTGCGTTTTCACAAGTTAATGCTGGCTCATCTTCATCAACAGAAGAAGGAATCCAGGACCAGAAGCAGCACCCCCTCTTCCGAAGGCTTTCCGTAGTGTCTGAGTTTTATACAGATCAGAGCTTCAAGTTCAAACTTGACATTTATTTAAAGTGGCTTCCTCGCATCTCATTGCTTCCTGATTTATTCTGGTCGGAGTCTTGCCCTAAGGGTTTCAAGCCTCTTGCTGTGCACGAGTCCGGTGGGGAACTCATTTTTTCTGGGGCTCTCAGTAACAGATCGGGTAAACCGGTGTTTAAGGAGATTGGCCCGAGTGAGTCATTTGATCGCACACCACTGCTGCACGCCTGGTGCAGCGCGTGCGTCCATCAGCAATATTTGTCTTGCAGGTTGTTTACTGGAGTCTGCACTGGGAACCAAGGGTATGTACATAAAACAATGTCAGATAAGACATTGGGTGCGGGTTGAAGGTTGTTCACGTTCAGGAGTTTTCATCTCTTCCAGTCCCTTCCACGGGGAATAAATGTCCAAACGCATAGCGCAAACTGCAAAGTCATGGCAGGAGCTGAAGGCATCCCCAGGGGCAGACTGTGTTTTTATGGCTCGGAGGCTGGTCTTCCCTACTGTGGCTTATTTGGAGCTTCCTTCCTATTATCAGTGGACAACAATTTTATCAGGAATCTCATGACGTTGGCTCTTTTTTCTTTTAGTTTCAGTTTTGAGTTCTTTGTCGTTTCACAAACGTTTTGTATTATTCATACATTTTTTTTTTTTTTAAGAGGCAGTTTCTAGCTTTTGAACATGGAGAGCAATTTGGGAATGTGTCTACTTTCTGAAGAACGGAAATCTAGTGGGAAAAAGGACTGTTCTATATGTATTTAAAAATGTTGTGATTTTCAGGCCAACCTCATGAATTTAAATGGGAGGGGGGTCATGGTCATGATGCATTATGCATCATGTGTGCATCACATCTGCCAGAGGATGCAGAATAAGACTGCTAAAGGGCTTTTACCCACAGCTATCAGCATGTCAAGAGGTCTTTCTGTGTACATTTTAAAATTTTAGTGACTGCTCTATCTAGAATAGGCTTCCTGTTACTTTGCACGGTCTGCAGGACAGGGTGGGAGCTGTTTACTATTTTTAGAAGCTCCCCAGAAAATATTCTTCATTTATAAGTTAAAAGACCCATCTCCTTATTCCTGTTTTTATGATACTTTCTGCAAATGAAAGCTGGAATGCAAGAATCACATCTTTACATTTTAACTGCTAACCCCAGCAGTTGAAATGTTACGCAGAGCAAATTCAGCACTAGATTACGTTGGGCAATGCAGTGCCCCCGTGGCTTTGCTGGGGATAACCTGTGTAGTCCAAACCAGGCTGCTGCTTTTGGCACGTTAGGAGCAGAGTTAGCACCTGAGTCTTAAACCTGCATCACTGAATGAATACACAAGCCTGATGACTGTCCCTCCTCCAACAGAGCCTTCGAACAACCCCGGTTCAGCTGACACATCTGCCCAGGCAGGCAACGAGGACATTCGTGTGGAGGCACGGACAGACAGACACTCTGCTTTGGAGCAGCGCCGCTTTGCAGTGTCTCTGGATCGAGTACGGGTTTCGCTGCCTTTGCACATCAGCTTCAGGAGCTGTGTTCTCACCAAGGCTCTTCTGCGGTCTGAACTCATCTTCCCTTTTGGATCATGTGAGGTATCCTCCATTAGTAACACTTTGCTCTGACAGGCGTCCTGCTGTGCATTGCAGCAGTTAGAAGCTAAATAATTTATTTTGGAAGCAAGTTTCGTACATGGCTTAGAAAATGGAAGAGAACAAGGAATATTGCAACAGCCAACTGCAGGGTAGATTTCAGTGGTAGGCTTGGACAAATACACCATGCTCTGTAGTTTCTAAGCGTTGCATTTTGCCATCCATTGTTTCAAAATTGCTTTCTCTCCCATAATTACCTTCACAAGAGGAGGCTGATCCAAAGTGTTGGGTTTTCTTATTATTTTTTTTCAAGTTGGTTCAATGATTTCCATTTTTAATAATAAAGGTGAATAAACAAAAGAAGAAGAAGAAGAAAAAAAAAAAGCATGACAACATATTACCTGGCATTTAAAATAGAGAGAAGATGTATGTGTGCCACAGAGCACTTAATCTGTGGACATCAAAGTGCCTTGCAGAGGTCATAATTCTCATTTCAAAGATGAGGAAGCAGAGGTGCTGAGAGGGAAAGTGGCTGGCTTAGCAGGTCAGTGGCAAAGCGGGGCGAGAGTCTCCCGAGCCTGTAGTGCAGGCAGAGAGGAGGGCACACAGGAGAACAAACCTGTCCTCGCTTAATCAGGACGGCTCAGGTCCCAGGTGCAATGAAGGCACGGTGACACTGCAGGGAGAGCAGCAAATCATGCCACAAGCCGTGGAGCCAGTGAAGCCTGGTTTCCTGCTGTTTTGTGTCTTAAGAGCAGGCCGGGGGTTCTCTGATGTTGCCCTTTGATGGTGCAATCATGAGGTGCCACTGCGGCCTTTCCATCACCAAGGGCACTGATGGAGTCTGGCTCCCCAGCTTGGCTGTCTCTTCTCCCAAGAGTTTGAGGTACTGGAGAATTTTTGTGCCTTTCTGTCAGGCGTGAGCACCGTCAGCCAGTGAGTCACATCTAACACGTGTTCGCATGCACACACCCACGCGCGGGCACACAGGCATATGTCTGGGCATTGCAGCGTAGGGGACGTTTTACCTTATGGAACTGTGTGATCAGTCAGCATTTTTATGTGGTGGATCTATGGTTTTAAATATGTTTTCTCTAAAGAGGTCTGAAAGATAAAAGGTGGTAGAGCAAGGACGTTCGTTGTGTTGATTCAGTAGCCACTGTTGTTCTGTCTTACTAGAAAATGGTTTTCAAGGGAAGAAACAAAACGCCTCCAAATTGGACTTCCAACTCGAGACGCATCCTCTTTGAGCCCTCAGAGGCTCTCTGTGAAGTCAGACTCATTTAAGTCATTCATCTGATGAACCATACCTCCTGGTGAGAAGACTTCTTTTATGCCTGCAGCCATGCTGCCTTGAGGCATGGTCCTGTCACATCTCATAACCTGGAGAGGGAGAGCTTGAATGAGCATTTTGGTGGGAAATTCCGAAGTAGCGATTTTCAATCCTTCCTGCTCTGTGAGCTCTGAAAACACCTTAGGTGGCTGCTCAACCTCTTTGTCAGTAAGCTGAAGCCTACTGATGCGAGGTTGGTTTTCTTAGCTTTGATAGATCCATTGCAAGTAGGCCATGGATGCTGCAGGTCTTCCCCGCATGGAATTTCATGGAGCAATGTGGCCCTCAGTTAACTGAAGATCTTGCAGTGTTTTTCACGGAGGGGTCTGCCTAGGAAAAGCAGACATAATTTGAGGGATTATCCATCTCTAAGCAGTTCATGATAGCTTCTTTGAGATGGCTTGCAGTGTAACCTTCTGAGTTCATCTTCTGATGAGCAGTGCACCCCTGCCTGCTTTCTGCTTCTTCAGATGAGTGCTACAAAAGCTGGGTAGGAGGGGGAGGTTGTCTGGCTTTGTCATTCACCCTCTTTGACCTTCAGCTCCTTTTTTCTTGATGAAGTCCAAGTTACCCATCAATTAAAGAGAGGCTGCGTTGTGTTCTTAGCCCACAGGAGTGTTGTGAGAGTTTTCATAATAAACTTCTCAAGATTGTCGAGTGAAATGCGCTATATAAATGCAGATGAATGTTACTAGAAAGCCTGCAGGTTCTTTACTTTATGTGTCTCCTCTGTGGTGTCTACTGGCAGACCTGAATACATTTGCGGCTCAGATTACTAATCTCAGATGTAATACATCAGCTGAACAGACTTTCTTTCTTTATATTTTAAATATCACGGCACACTGTATCATGCAACCTATGATAATACTGCTCAGCATCTCTGTTATTAGAACATCTCTTCATATTTTTGTTGTTACAGGGCCCAGAGGCATTGTTTATGGGGAGACCTCAAAGACCTGGTAGCACTTCAGTTTTCCAGATAGGAAAACCGAGGCCCATTTTCCAAGCAAGAAACTCTGAGCCAGTGGTGTAGAAACTGGGTCTCCTACCTCTCACATGCCATCTCTCCAAGCACTGGGAAACTGTTTTCAAAAGAACCAAAGGCTGTAAATTACAGGACCTCAACACAGAGTTTGCAAGTGAAAGTGAGTTTGCTAAACAGATTTTTTTTTTTCTCCTCCTGTGTGCTACGAGTGACACTTCCACTAAGCACTGCAGTGGGTGCGTTCCCTGTGTGTCTGGTTACTGCTGAAGAGATGTTTTAACTGGAGGAGAAAGCCCTCACTCATTAGCAATGACTTCTGTTCTACTGATTGGCTACTTAAGGTTTTACAACCCCAAGTGCCTCGCTAATACTCTTCTCTTAACACCAAGTCTTTCTGCAGGTTACCAGTATGTTCCTCAGACTTGCAAGGCTTTGTAGACTGCTGTTCAAAACCAGCTATTTTGAAAAAATACACAAATCGTAGAATCACAGAATCCTCATCACAAATGGTGGTGGAGAAGGGACAACCGCTTGAAGGTCCCTCTTCTTCACACTTTACCAGGAGAATATCCTTCTGCTGGGCTATGTACTCATGGTGCCACATCCTTTCTGATTCATGAACTTCACATTCCTTGCTGCTCAGTGGCCTGGTGTCAAGACGAGTTGGGGAATACTTCCCTCTCTCCAGCCGATGTGAGTGCTTTGAAAGGAGACGTTGTCTTGATCTCTGTTAGGCTGCAGATGGCACTTCCACATCTCCTTTGCCTTTGATGTGTGTCCTTGTCCCCTTGGTTGAAGCACCAAACAAATGTTCTGAGTGACTGCTTCTGCCAGTGGCTCATGCTGGAGGTGTAGGTGGGTAGATGGGATTTGGGAATTCCACTTCTGGAGCCAGGCACCTTGAAGGGACGTGTGGGAGTTGCTGTTACCACACCTGAGCCCTTTGCCAATCTGGGGCCTGAGCGTCAAAGGTGAGTAATTGTTATTGATGGAGGAGCTGCTTTGTTTGTCCACTGAATAAATAAAGCAGACTTTCCAGCTGTTCCCTCCTCCAAGTCTCTTCCAGCTCCTTCCAGCTTCCCCACATCACTCCCTTTTCCTAATCTCCCCATCTTTTCTCTGTGGCTTCCTCCTGCAGTTTCAGTTCTGGCGGGCAGCTCCCAGCATTATGTTCAACTGAAGAGGGCTTTCCTCAAGACAACTTCAATGTCCCGAGCAGTACAACATCCTTCCCAGAGCCATCCATGTCAAAAAGTGATGTTTTTGCCCTGTTTTGCAATGATTGTATTTAATAGTTAGTTAAATATCGAGGTCGCCAGCCACTCCTTGCTGGCATGCCCCATTCCTAAGGAAACACTGTGCCTTTTAACCTAGCTGTGCTGGAGGGCAAGGGAAACTGTTCCCAATTTACTGACCAAACCTTCTGCTGGAGAGCTGATCTTTCCATTTCCCCTTCAAAGCCAAGGTTGCCACATTTTCCCCGGAGTCTGTGACCTAAATAGCAAGTTGGTGTCCTGTGAGAGTGTCTGGTCCTGGAATGGCCCTGTTTCCTTTCCCTTCTTTCAGTGGCTGCGGTGATATCAGCACCCTCGCGAAAAACAATTCGGTCAATCCATCAGGGCTTTCCAGAAGCAGAAATGCCTCGTGATGGGACACACCAAAACCCGTTCTGAAAGCAGCAGACTAGTGAAATGGACTGACCCCGTGGATGCTGGGTCAATATACAATAACGGCGGTGCTGCACTAAGCTTTTTTTCCATCAGAGCAGCTCTATCACATTGATCTGCCCAGTGTTGTGCCAGAGAATAGCTAGATAGCTTTTTTTTTTTTTTTTAAATGTGTAAATCCATTTCCTAACCTGGCAGGCGTCCTACAGCATGAAAGCAGCAGCAAAATGCTGGTGCGTGTTTCTTCCATGTGGTCTGATAGGGATGTATATCTTGTCCTCTTTGCCTAGGGTGCAGCTCCTTTGGAAATGCTTTGTAGAACAGTGCTGCACAGGGAAAGAGTTGTCTTTAATGACCCTTCTGTGATGTTTACATGTTAAAGTCCCTGCATAGCAGAGGTACATGTGGTTATACTGGCATAAAAACGCTTGTGTTTGTGTGGTTCTGGGAACCAGTGTAAAATATGCTAAAAAGAACATGTTTTTTTCTTTACATGTTGGGAAAGCTGGTGCTGTAATTGAACATAACTGTAAATAAAACCACCCTGGCACTGTTTTTCATTCACAGGCCCCCAGTTCACATTCATTGTCACCACTGCCGTACCGACACAGAAATAGCAGCTGTAAGGGGCCAAGTGAATCAGAGTCAGACTCATCTCAAGATATCTCATCTCATCTGTCCGGCTCAGGCACCAACAGGTCGATAGTGGAGACTCCCTTTGTAAAGATAAAAATTGCTACAAAGTCGAGAATCGCAGGTATTTTCACCACCTATTTCGGAGGGGATGAGAACCATGCACTGGAAAAATCTGTTTCTGCTGAGTGCAAAAGGAGCACTGGGGAGGAGCTCTGTCAGAGTATAAACTTCCAGTATAGGTTAGATAAATTCCCCATTTGACCCCTGAGATCCTCAGGATGTCTCCAGACTGCCAGTCTCACCTCCCACTCACCTGGGCACGGTTCCCACTGGAGGTAAAGGCACCAGTCCCTGCTCAGCCTGTCTTAATTAAAAACAACTTTATTGTTTGATAGATACCAACAGAATGCACAATATAACCGGCAACGCAGAAGGCTTCTGCCCTGAAGACATTTTCCTGTAAACAGATGGCAAGCAGAAAATGGGCCAGGAAAGCCAGAAAAACTCTGCCTTGGTAGGTGTGTGATTCCTCTCCCCTTCGGACAAAGCATCAGTGTGGGCTGATGTGGGCTCCAGTTACAGAAGATGTCTTCAAGGATAAGGCAGTGTGGGAAGTACGAGGGAAAAACGTGAAACCAAGGGAGGAGGGAAAAAAAAACAACAAGCATTTAGCATTCTCTAGTGGGGATTTTATTTCAGCCCGTCCCTCTCCCTCTGTGCTTAGCACTGTACATATACATCTGGTGGGAGAGCAGCTCTGCCCAGGGAGGCGTAGAGTCCACATGGGCAGGAAAAGGGGTGGAGGACAGGAAGCACTCGGCTTACTTTTACAGCCTTGAAACAGATCTAGCAGCTGACATCATGACTTGAACGAGGTTGCCCAGGACGTCAGCGGCAAAGCCGGTATTTAAACCCCTGGCATCCCAGCCAGAGGCACTGGCATGTCCTGCTTCATCTGAGGCTTGTCTGACACAGCAGAGTCTTATGTAACGCAGCCAGAGTTTTGGTTTTGTTGCAACAGTTTCAGAAGAACTCAAACACAGGATTTTTGCTATTTTTAAGTTGGAGAATGAGTGTATTTCTGTCTCACGCTTCACTAGGTTGCATCCGGGGTCAGGGAATGAGGGTTCATCTTCCAGCTAGCTACGCAAGGCTTTCATTTGCATTCCCCTCTTTGTTTTGTCTTGGGATAACAGAAGTTTGCACTGACATGCAAGATATTTTCTTACTGGTCATCAACAACCGCAGTTGCATTTCAGAAGTGTTTTGGCACCTTGCCCCTCTGGCAGCCAATGATCTTAGTAGCAACTTCTCAGGCTGAAATGTTTTTCTTGAAATGCATTAGCCCGTGTCTATTATTGCACACACTTTTCCTTTTCCCCTCATCTGTTTTGGCCATATCTGAAGCTGTGAACTCTTTTCGAAGAATCTTTAATCTTTGTCAACATTTGGAGTGGGTCTGAATAAAAACTTGTTAGAGGAAATCTTAGTGATTTAATGTGCTTCTTGGCTTACTATTCTGGCTGACAATCTTTTACAGAGGCAGTATTGCACTAGCAGTAGGAAAGTAGAAAATCAGGATTGCTTTTAGTAGGAAGTATCCCTCTGACAGTCTGAGCAGTGCCCTGATATGTTAATTGCCTGTCCTGTGAGTGTGCTTGTCTTGTAGACACACTTGCAATGAGGTTTCCGGGAAAACAGAGGCTTAAAACTGATGGGCATTTTCTGTCACCACCTGAATAACACTGAGAACTGTGGGATAATTAAGATCAAGTGCTTTAATCCACTGGTTACCTTCTCAGGTAAAGCTATTCATTCAACCATAGTAAGGACAATAGTGTTTATCAGCTGTAAATCTAGGGTGTAAAGTAAAATAAACAAGACATATATTTTTTTTTTGCCCTGTTTCTTCCCACCTATTCTTCAGGCTATTCATCTATTTTGGAAAGCTTTTTCAAGACTTCAAAATCACTGTCTACGAATGAGGAGCAAATATGGCATGCTGTGATCTTTTGCACACAGAGGAGATTGAGGTCTTGATAAGAAGCAGCGGTGGGAAAGGAGATGTTCATGTCCTTGGTGAGGAATGAAATGAACTGGAAAGTAAGCTGGGGGGAAACACAGTTTGGGAATCGCTGCCCAAGTTCAAAGTACTTATGCAGGTACTTGCCTCTAATTATGTATTTAAACCTAGACCCAAAGCAGTGAAATACCTGCAAAAAAAGTAAAACACAGAGTAACCTAAACCTGTACCTCTGTGCTTTCCTCACATAGAGTCTGCACAACTAAATGGGTTCAGGTAAGAATATTTCTGGTCTCTAGGCTTAAACTGACTGAAGCCATCAGGTCAGAGCTAAAGTATTTTGTAGCAACTCAGCCACGGATGTCAAAGTCGGTAGAGGTGCAGCTTCTGCAAATGGTTCCAATTAACATCTTTAATCTTATTATCTCAAGTCTTTTATCTTCAAATTTTCTTGGCTGTTTGTTTGTTTTCTTTACATTTGTTTACGTATACAGAACTGAAAGTTTTTCTGGAAATGCTGGTATGGCTTTTAACTGTACGAATGATTCACTGAGAATAATTAATTCAAAGATCTTGGCATCTCTTTTCCTTGTAATCTGGTGGTGGATATTCTGTGATTTTCTTGGAAGGTTTTTTCCCCTGCATGTGCATGTATGCACTCACACCCACAGAGACTCACACACATCATTTGCAAATGCAGACACTTCCCTCTTCTTCCTTTGGAGCTTTTAAGTTGCTCCCTGTTTCTGGAGCAAGACACATCTGACCTGTACAATCAACCCTTTCTGCTACGTGTCTCCTTTATTTGTGCCCAAAAACACGACACAGCTTTTGAGATCTGCAGGACCTGTCCTGTTGCCCCAGTGACTTTTTTGGTTGGTTGATTGGTCTCCCTAAGCTTTCAACGCAGAGCAGGGACACGCAGTACTCTGAAGAAGGCCTGTGCCCTGTGCTAACTCCTACAGCTTGAAAAGGCTTGGCCTTGGAGAATGCTGGCTGGCCTGAGCCAAACCAGATCAGGCACTTCTCAAAAGAATAAAACAGTACAGAGCTGTTCCCAGGGGCCAGGATTGTTCCCCAGCATTGTTTAATTTATTAGCGTAGGTGCAAGTATTGTTGTTGATATAGAGGTTATAGCTTGCTCACATTTGAATATCTATTAGCAGCAAAAGCAGTGAGTTCTGCCTCAAACTTTAAGCCCTCGGGACCATTACTTACGTAGAAAATTAAGCATGGTCCTTGCAGTCTGTGATACAAGCTCATACATAGTGTAAGGGGTAGCATTTCCCTGCTGGCCCTGTAAGTGAAGTCTGCCATGAAACTTAGAGTGGCTCATCACCGTCAACATCAGTTGTACTTGAACGATTTGCTTTGTAGAGCTCTCACTCAAAATGTATGCACCTAAGGAGGAATCAGGGGGCTAAACACCTTTGAAGAGCAATATGTTATGTTTTTTCGTTGTTCTGAAAAACATCATTTATGCAACACCAGAATTCCCTGTAACTTAGCGCTTTGCACTGTTATTTCAGAAATTAAAAGCTATTCCGGTGCTTTTTAATCACAGCACACTGCGACAAAAACATAGTTGCTTTGCAGTGACACTCATATCATTGCAATACCCACAGCTCCCTTAGAACCTGAGCAAAGGAACTAGGAGGCTGTAGGTGAGCTGGGTTTACCTAAATAAATGCAATGCGAGGAGCCTGCAGCAGGGTATGGAGTCACTCGGTAATTACCCTCCTGGTTTTTCTGCCTTGTCTATGAAACAGCCACTGGAACAGGACAACTTGTATAAATTCAGGGAGGGCCATGAGTTTTATTATAACTAACTATAACAACACTTGGCTCTTTGAGGGCTTTTATCCAAATGTCTCCAAGCCCTTGTTCTTCACAAAGAGAGATAAATGTAATTATCACAGTTCTAAAGTGGGGAAAGCTTAGGCATACTGAACTTAATTAACTGCTCATGGATATACAGCAAATCAGTAGCAGAGATGGGAACACAAACCAGTTTTCCCAACTCCTCTTTGTGCCCTAGTCACCGGATCCTGGTGCCATCTCTATCAGGCAGCCACCGCAGTGGTGTTAACAAGACAAAAAGTCCCAGTGGGGCAAAGCTTAGTTAGCCCTAAAAATACTGAGACAGCCCCATGCCCAGCTAAAATGGCTCTGAGGTACACCTGTAGCCTTCTGTCTAGCATTTAATGAGCCTGGACTGGCACTGGGAACTTGCATGCTGGATGTGCTAGACACCAGTTTGTTCCTCATACTTTGTCCTTGTGTTAATGCTGAAGTTTGCTTGCCAAAAGGACTGCTGGCACCGTACCGCCTGTCCAGCTGCTCTGGAGCACTTTGGCTCTGCTGCTCTTTCTCGGTCCCTCTCTGCCCCTGCTCCACCGTGCTCTGCAGCGTGGATCCCCTCTCCCCCGTGGTACGCCATGGGCAGCAGGGGGGCAGCCTGCTTCACCGTGCTCCTCACCACAGGCCCAAGGGGACTTCTGCTCTGGCACCTGAAGCACCTCTCCCCTTCCTTCTGTACTGACCTTGGCATCTGCAAAGCTGTTTCTCACTCCTCTCTCTCTCCCAGCTGCTGTTCCACAGCAGTTGTTTTGTTTTTCCTTTCTTCAGCCTGCTCTCCCAGAGGCACAGACGACAGCGCTTCTTGGCCCAGCTCTGGCCAGCAGCAAGGCCCTTCCCTAACATGGGGCAGCTTCGGGATTCTTCTCGCAGAACCCACCCCGATGGCTTCCCCGCTACCAAAGCCTTGCCACAGGAACCCACTGCACAGCACTTGTGGCCACTGAGACCTGCGCAGAGCGATTCCTCGTTCCTGGAAGCAGCGCCACGCGCCTGAGAGAAGAGGCTGTGTGAAGAGGTGCAGAGATGAGATAAGCAAGGTACTGATCCTTCAAAGGCAGCGTTTAGCTGTTGTTCTCTCAAAAGGCTGAGAGCAGAGAAGGATGGCCTTCAAATGTTCTGTTCTGAATAAATGGTGTCAAGGCGGAGGAAAGGATATTTTTTTCACCCCTCTCACCGACTCCGGGCCAGGTATATTCAAACTGTGTTTTCTCAGTGCCTACACAGCCTGGGTGCAGAGCTACCCTGAGCTGTTTCCTTCCTGTGCACTTACCAGCTAACATAAAAGCTCTGGCAATCAAGGTGCTCCTGGCATCTCCACGGGCTCTCTGGAGGTCTCTCCACCCATCTTACTTACCATCTCTTTTTGTACAGCTGTGATAGAAATTGTCTCAGCAAATCAGGAGAATTCATTGCCGAATGGGTGACATCCTTTTCCTGTTTGGGGTCAAAAAGTAACCTTGAGCTTTTGCAGCAGACAGACTCCTCTCCCTGTGTTTCCCCGAGCGCAGTAGCATATGTCTGCAGTCATTTATCTACCTCGAGGAAGCAAATCAAGTTAGGATTCTCAGGATGAGATTTTTCTTGCGTTTACTGACGGCTCATCACATTGCAGCAAAGTGAGGCTTTCAAAACACGAAGGCATTTCTACCCCTGGCTGAAATAACACGTTTCAGCACAGTCAGCAGGCAGTTTGCTGCTCACACCCTGGTCAGTACCTGCTTTTGCTGAGAATGAAGTAGTTACAGCTGTGGCAAGGGGTGACTGATGGCAGAGTAAATATGAACCATAGGTTTTGTTTCCAGCCACAAGCTGATGACCAGTTTATCGTTTGCTCAGCTCACTGTAGGACAATGTAGTCATCTTTTTTTACCCCACTAAAGCTGAAGAGCAAGTGGGGATGGGGCTCCAGAGTGCCAGGCACTGTTCTGTGGAAAGGCTTCCATGGGAGAAAAACAGGATGGGAGAAAGGGACCGTCAGGAGCACAATAACATGAGGGCAGAAAATAAAGACGTGCTGTCATGGAGGACAGACAGATGTCTTTAGGAGACATGGTATAAAAAAGGGGAATTGGCTGCCTGTAGCAAGTTAGAAAAAAGACAGAGGAGGTCTGGAGCTGAGACTCAGGTTAGAAAGGAAGTTCTCTGAGGCCACATCTTTACTGGTAAGTTAGCACAGCCAGGACCCTTCTTTGGTGCTGATGCCAGCTGGCAGAGCTCATGTGCATAATATTAAACTCTTCTGCTGTCAGAAGGTGGTGGCTGCCTCCACACTGCCTCCCGGGAGCTCTCTCTGGCTTTTGCTCCTTCCCAGACCATACCCAGAAACCTGCCAGGGATAGTCCTGATGCCTGCATTTCAGCACCCAGGCCTGGCGTTGGCCCTGCTTGTACAGCCACAGTCCTTACCTGGGCTGTGCTGTGGTTTCCCTTGCTTTGATCTGATTAACTCCTTCCTGCGGGCTGCTGCCAGCCCCTCCGAGCCACGTGCGTGGGGAGGTGCACCGTGTGAATCCCTGTCCCAGGAGAGGTGTGGGCTGGGTGCACATGGAGACTCTGGCTCCTTGTCTCAGCGGTAGCCTGATCAACCCCAGCTACCTTCTGTCAAGGAGGAATCTCAGAAGGGAGGTGCTTTAGGAATAACGTCCCGAGAAGGTGCTGGTTTATGAAAAGGAGTCTGCAAAGAGCCTGAAGACTGGAGGGAAGCAGCAGCTGTAAATGGAGATGCTGCTGCAGCTCCCTCATACCCACACCCACCATGCAGAGCAGGTGCCAGCAGCTGTACAGAGCACTCCGTGGTGCAGCACAGGTTTCACTGGCACTGCAGAATCCAGAAGCTATTCTTGGACACCACCTACTGGCATTTTCCTTATTAACTCTTCAAGATGAGCAGTTTGGCAGCGTGTCGAGGGCATCCCAAGCCTGGAAGTGAAGAGACAAGCTTGGCTTTCCCAGTCCTTTTTGGTGAATGTCCTGCCTGTTTTTTTGTTTGTTTATTTGGTTTTGTTTTGTTTTGTTTTTCTGAGAGGGAAGCTGCCCTGGGGCTCTGTGAGAAACCCCGTTATGTAAGGGAGGGATTTTTCCTTGCAGTTGGGAAAGGGGATACCAAAAGAAGTGCTGTGAAAAGGAGGCGGATGAAAGAAAGAAGAGGAAAAAAAAAAAAAGGAGAAAATGTCTTCAGGCACTGGTGAGGAACAAGCTGAAGGTCTTCCCTACTACAGTTTAGGCAGAAAGGGCATTTTATACCCATCAAGCACCACTTCAAAAAGCCTTTCAAGAGACAGAGCATTTAAGCCCATGATTTCTTCTTTTTCAGTATGCACTGGGCTCTACGTGGCATAAAGAAAAAGCTTTCCTTTGGGGATGCAGCATTTTAAATCAGAAGGGAGGAGGAGGCACAGCTTCCAAATGCTTTGCCTTTTGGCACCGACACCAAAAACTGTAGTACTGATGGTTATAATTCCTGACAGTCGCGACAGACAGAAAAAAAAAAAAAGAACAAAGGAGCAGGCAGTTGTCCTCACTGACACAGCTCGGGCACTGAGAGAGGACAGCAAGGGCCACACTTGACATCTTTGTGGCTTTGCTGTATGTAATGAGAAGAAACCTCCCAGTTACAACTGCTTAAAGAATACAACCCAGCCCATCCTCCAGCATCTCGGTGTGGGCCTGCTGCAGCTCTGGTGTTTCAGCAGAAAACCCACCGAGAAACTCCCAGTGCACCCGTGGGCCATAATTGCTCTGAGCAGCCTCCACCCACACCTCCTGCCCAGCAGCCCTATTTAAGCTCAGCCTTGGGCTACCTTGCAGGCAACTTTGTCTTTAGTTCTGTTGCCTGGCTTGGCCCTTTGGGTAGATGTTGCTCATTTCTACTCCCTGTCTCACTGATTGTAACCCCTGGGTGAACTTTGGACTTGGTCAATCCCTTTGCTGCCGGTGGGCCCTGCTACCAGCACCCAGCTCTGCTCGGGTTCTGTGGGATTGTGCTCAAAGGTGCTGCTTGTGCTGGGGTCTCCCTTGCTCTCTGAGGTAGGCAAAAACTCTTGCTGCTCTTCCAGTTCTTGTCCCTCAGGTAATTATCTCCTCCAGGGTTTTCCAACAGAGGTTCCTCCTGTCACATGTACGTACATTTCTTTCATGCTTGGATTTGTCTCAGAAGCAACCTCATTTAATATTTTCCTCTGAGGAACAGGGCTAGATTCAAGCTTGTAAACTGATTTATGTTCTCCTAAGAAGAAGATAGACACCTATCGTTCCACCATCTGTCCAAGGCCTTTTGAGACTCTCCATGGCTTACAAGGGGGTTCCTATGGTACTTCCAATCCTTGCTGGCTGTTAGTACATGTGCTTTCAGTCAGTTGAGGAATATCAAGCCCATGAGTTTTTAATGCCTGTATTCCTATTCTGTTCTCAGAAATTGTTATAAAAATCTTTCTTTCTTTTTTTTTTTTTTTTTAAAGTTCTCTGAATGAGGTAAAATTCACAGAGATGTTTCAGAGAAGCTATCGATTGATGATGAAGTCTTGCTGTTCGTGACTGTCATGATTTTTTTTTTACTGACAAACTCTTTCTCTGTCCAAGGTACAAAGACCCTTCAGTTTTACACCTGGAGGACCCTGATGGTATAACCTGAGCTCTTCTCCAAGCTCTTTCTTTACAAGGTTAGTGCCGTTTTGAGCATAGACTTGATTTCCACTGGTAGCTGAGAGGATCGAAATGTAACAGGGCTATTTTTGTGCTGTGTATCCAGGAGTTTACATACTGCAGCATCTCAGCAAGCTATCGGTACCTTCAGAGGTATGCTGGCATCTCTGGCTGTTCTCCTGCTGGTGGTCAGGACAGCGTAGGTAGTAGTGTTCTGCTGAAGCTTTGAGGGATTGTGCTTGTGTTTAAATATTAACTTCCTTTTCTGTTGGCTGACTGTAGAGTTTGAGGGATAAAAGATGTATCTGGCAGGTGAACAGCCTTTGGAAACGGAGCTTGTTCAGTTTGGTGTGTGTAGGGTGTGAACCCATAATGTAATGACTTAATATTAAGGGTTTTGTGAAACAATCCTAATTAGAGAGGCCTATTCCTCCAGCAAAACTGAAATTCTCTTCCTTCAAACGCTTCCATTTTCTCTTGTACAGTATGTTGCAAAAGGTTTTCATTACCATGCCATATCACCCAGGGCTCTCCTTTCATATGAGTCCTGCCAAGTGGAGAAATAAGTTCTTGGAAAATGCTTACATGGCTCGAGAGCGTTGCTCTGGCTCAATAGCTCTTTCTGACTGGGCGAGCTCTCTCTTTATGGTGACTAAAATCAGAGGTGATTTATAGCCTGCATTGATATAATGTAATCCAGCCATGATAGACATACCTTTCATCATAATGAATGATGAATGTAGTTGTTACTGTTTTGTTTTATTACTGTAGCAGCTAATTCTGACCTGTGTTTATTGCAAAGGATGAATACGGTAAGCTGGAAAGAAAGCACTGACCTTGTAATGGTTCAAAGTCACTTCAGGAGAAAGAACAGCTGTCTTGCATGTCAGGTGCAGACTATTTTACACTGCAGGAAAAAAAACAACTGTTGGCTTTACACTTTTTAGTGTGCATTTCCTAAATTTAAAGGTGGAAAGTCATGTGTTCTCCTTCTCACGGTGCTGGTGAGATCTCTTAGAGACAGCACCTGTGGTCAGAGCAACTCTTTTCATAATTAATACTAACCCAGATTCTGTTCTCTACGATTCTCAGTTGCTTACTGGTAGATTTCAACGTGGGTCCTAGATCTGCTGGTGTTTTTTACCTGGGAGCTTTGTGGGGCCACGTGGTATGTTGACAGATTATGCAGCCTGTAAATAATCTGTTCTGCAGTAATAACCTTTCTGTCCCTGTTTAATATATAATAGGTGGGAATAATCCCATGTGGGTCAACATGACTTGACTTCATAATTTCCATGGGCTTTGAAACCAAATAAGTCATGATACATCTAAACTTGTGTGGAAGTCTGAGCTCCTAAAGCTGATAAAAGAGGTGCCAGGACTGAACGGCCAGCCTGTATGATACATGGCCTATATTACAAGCCAGTAATATGGCTTAGGCTGTGAGACTACCACAGCTGTGTGCTGATGGCATGTTGGGCCAGAAGATGTTTGGAAGCTGCAATGAAGGAAGAAAAGGACGTTGTCATATTATCCAGAGAGCTGACAGCTCAGCTGGCTTCCCAGGTGTGAGAGAGAGCTTGCAGGGATGGCACTGTGGAGTTTGACTGTAGACAAGCCTCAACAAAATAAACGAGGCCTGATCAAAACTGCTAACACCATAAGTTTCACTAAAAATTAATTAGTAGGGAGGAAGAAAAGGAGGAAGGGCAGGCACTGCTTTGAAGATTGAGTTGCAAAAAGTAACATCACGGTAACCCTAAAGGGTATTTGGACAACGACAACATAGATTTGGTCTTCAGTGCAAAAATATATAGAGAAGCTGATGTTGCAGGCTCAATGCTGCCTTGCCAAGTTGCACAGTGCTTAACGAACAAGTGACGTGTGTTTTCTGACACCATGGGAGTTCAGTCATCATCAGCCTGCTGGTAGGAGTTTTCAAAAGGTTGCTGGTCTTGCTGCTGTCCTTTCTAGAGCCTGTTCTTTAGGCATCTTCCAGTGTTACTGCAAAGGAAATTCCAATCCCTCCAAAGGACAAGCCTATTCTAAGGCATCTCTAGTCCAAAACGGAGGTACCCCAAATCGGTGCCTCATCTGTGCCTGCAGGAGTGGGCAGATCTCAAGTGATGTGTGGTGGGGCCGGGGACCTTTGCAGGCTGAAAAAACCTTCTGTGAGAAGCTGGATTTCACCTCCCCTGAGATGTAGACCCCCTGTGTACAGCTGGCTTCCCATGGGCATACTTGGTCTGGAATTTGAATGGGAAAAACAGGCTGTTGTGTGGCCCTGGAAAGGCTGCAAAGTGCTCTCTGGGGACACAGATACGTGGGTGTGCATCTGTGTGTCTTCATTAATTAACTGTAGGCAAAAATAACAATGTTGTCTTTAGTTAAGGCTGCCCTGTGCTTCCTGCCAGAGCTCTGATTCTTCACTTCTCACTTACCCAAACTCTTCTTTGATTGCAGTTTTCCCCTGTTGCTGCCATTTTTCATCGTTGCTTGTTCACCTCAGGCTTAGTTCCTTTTCTGAGAAGCACTAGTACAAAAGGTCTGGATTTGACAAAATTTAGGAGGAAACCGATGTCTTAAATTTCTGACTGAAATAGCTGCTTTATTATTTTAACACTTTCATGTTCTAAAACGCAGCCTGGAAATTTGGCTGAGAGGTCAACCTGGAGCAAAGGGTGTGTTCTTCTTTTTGCCTTTGTGAAGAGCTGCCGGATAATTCGGTGAAGTTACAGGCTGTGAAAGTCTCCGTTCACGTTCTTGTTGTGGGAGAGGAGAGGGTAGAGGCTGGTAGAAACAGCCTTTGGAAATGGTGTTTTCCTTAAGAGGAAAGGAATGGGGCGATGGTGTGGAATGATGAGAAGTGAGATGGGGGAGTGGACGCACAAGCAAGGATGAGGGATGTGGGAAAGATGGATTGAAATTGCACGATAGCATGTAAGTAAGAAAACTTTTCATAGGGACTGCTGTCTAAAATTTGCTACAGTATGCAGAATTTTTCTCCCTCTGTAATTCTGTACGGCCAGCCAGAAGCTGTTATTTGTGGACAAGGCTTTAATCTCCTGTCCTGATAAACAGAAAGTGAACAGCTTTCACCTTGCCTTAGCTTTGCCAGGATCTCACATGGTTAATACCTGCCTCACGTAAAGATTTTTTTTAACAGAAATGCTAACAGGGGTGTGAATAGATATGCATGAGAGAAGAAAAACAGCAGACGAAGGATTAGAGGAGTGGCATGTATTAATTGCTACACAGCACCCCATTTGTGTTTCACGCAGATAACCAGATGACAAAGGACAAACAAGCCTTAGAGGTAAGGTGACAAAAGTGAGGAGGAGCAGTGCTGGAGTCATGAAACACCCAGGTAAGGATAACACCACCCAAGAACTTTACCTGAAACTGTAGAGTGGTGAGACAAGATGGGGTGGCTCAAGATAACAATATCCACTGTTGAAAGGTTCAAAAGATGCATCAAAAATGAGTTTGTAGTTACCTGTCAGATCAAGAAAAGCAGTGAGGGCACAAATGTGTTGCCCCACGTGCTTCTTGCTGCACGCGAGTGATCCTGTCCAGACCTCTTAGGTGCACACAGCTCAGTGCATGTGAGTATGTTGATGGGAAGGCGGAATTGGGTAGAACCAACGTACTGGTTTTATTTACTTAGTGTAAATAAAAATTGCCTTTCCTGTCTGTAAGGTCTTTCATTGAATTTTTATTACATTAATTTCCTGTGGTGGTGGAACTGAATGTTCCAGTTCTGCTAATGATTCACGTAGGAGGTGGTATATATCCATGTGATGGCATTTTATATATACATTTCAGTTGCCTTTAAAAAAAAAGTCTAGATAATTAGCTTACAGAATTGCTATTTGAAGGGAATACTAATGCCAAAGTCAAGACACTCAACTGCTGCAATTTGAGGTTGTCTGTTCAAGCTTCACGCTGCCCTCTTGTAAGGAAGGCTGCTTCAATCAAAATGTTTGCTGTGCTCCTCATTTTCTAGATGCTCAGCTTAAGATGCCTGTTGCCTGATTGGGAGATGCATTGAAAGCTGCCGATTATCGTTGACTCTACAGAGTTGAAGCATATAAAGTGCCACAAAAATGCTATAAGAAAAATCAGGCCACCTGTGACAAAGCAGGCTTTCCATATAAAAGGTTCTTGATGACCTGGATGCTGCAGCTATAAAACGAAGACACAGAAGTTTAAACAACACAAAACTGCAGTCCAGGTGTGTTTTCTCTCCTACTATCCCATCCCTCTGTGCTCCTGACCATGCTGGGATAGCAAATGGGCTCTGCAGTACCTGCAAGCCATCACTGGGTATGTATTTGTATCTGTTGTGCTGCTGCTAGTGCAAAGGACTTGCTTCATGGGTGCCTTATGCTCTTTGTCATGGAGCTGTGGAAAAAAGAAATAACAAAATGCTTGTGAAGCCTTCAGTTAAGGCAGTGGCGAAGGCAGACCTAACCAGGAGGCTAACGTCTGCATTTTGTTCCTAAAATCAGCAAGGGGTCCAGCACTGTTGCTGGCCAAGCAAAATATTGAATGGTTTATTACATGTGAGTGACATAGAGGGCATGGGGGTGGGGGATCCAGCGAGCAGCCATGTGATTGAACAAAATAAAAAGTTCATAAAAGGAAGATATCCAGCATTATAAATGTGCCCTTGTTCATCCCTGCTTCATTTGGCTGTTTTCCATTGTATGTTTTTTTCACTGTATATTTTCTCTTCACAGCTGGGCTGTTTCAAGAGGAGGGTCACACAAGCAGGTTTCTTGTTTCTCATACCTGTGCTCTGCCTGCCAGCTCCAGAAAGAGCTGCATGCTGCTGCACTCCCAGTCTGATGCTGTAGACGCTGCCTGCCAGACGCTGCTGCAGACTCTTGGGCTGGCCTTGAAGTAGGCAAACTTACCAACACTTACCCAGTAAGTGAAAACATCTGGGGAAAATATTTTCTGTTGTTTGTCTTCATGAAGTTTAGCTTAAAGACAGTAGCGCATCATTTTTTCTTCTCTCTCCTTCTCTCACAAGAATGGGTCAGGGGTTAGTTTTGAGTTACTTAAATGTTTACAGCAACATTCTTAAACTGGAGTTCAAGCAAAGGATCTGATGGAGGTCAGACAATGAATTTTAGCATGGCCTCTGTCTTAAAATCTGTTTGAAAATAAGTAGACAGTGGATTCCTGTTACTGTTCTTATTCCCTCAAGCCTTCTGAGATCCCCTGCTGCCAAAGGGTGGATCTGTTTTGTTCTGCAACAATAAAAAGCAGATGATTTTCCTTCTTAAAATACCCAAAGGGGATTGCTAACACAGATCCTCTTCGCTGTGTGCCCATCCTACTGCTCCCAGTCAAATCCCATCCTTTCTAGCAGTACAGAAGGGCTAATCCCTGGCAGTGAAGACACCCAGATTAACCCACTGCGGGATTAGGATGCTTGAGCTGTTGTAGGAAGATTAGAATATTTGGTTCTCAATATTTGCTGAACTTTTCCTGAAAATGATTTCCAACGAGGTCGCTGACTCTGGGGTCAGCATGGCAGTTCAGGAAAGTCTGGATTTAAAGCAAGAAGCTGTAAAGATTGAACCGGAGCAGGGAGTGCACAGAATGCGTTTTGGGTTTAAGCTCATCACTGCTGATATAGCCAAAAGGCTTTGGCAGTGCAGTGCTACCGAGCTGCTGCCTTGCTGCAGAGGTGTTCAGGGTAGCAATGATAGCTGTCTTGTGATTCGGCATGGGATGGGGGAAGGAGATTTTCTGGTGGCATTGAGACACTGACCTGTATGTCATCTCATATCTGCATTTGGAAATCAATGCCCAGAGCTGCTTTGCAGGCCAACACTTTCCTGCCCATGTGCTTCTTCTGTGTGAGCTTCTCCTTTTCATAGGCTAGACAACTTTGAGTTGCTTGGCTGGAATCAAATGTAACTGCTCCCTTGGCACTAGTTTTGTTGGACCGTTGTGCTGCTCTCCAGACAAGAGATGAATATCACTATCCTAAATGACAGTTGTCCATGGTGAGCAAAAATTACTCTTAAATTGCCTTTTTCAGGTGCTTTGCTTTCTGGAGCTCCCTGCTAATGATACTGTACCATTAAGTGGGTGAGCTGCCCACAAATGAACTTGTCCCAGTTCCTGCACAATGCAATATGAATGTACTTTAAGGGCAGGGTTTCCACAGTGGTACCCTTAGTCAGAAAATGCTTTGCTTCTACTTCCTGTGCTCTGCACTGGGACTCAAGCTGTCCGTGCTCATAATGTCTTATTTCAGCTACTAGCAAGAGGATTCATTTTAAAAAAGGATCTTTCTCTTGTCAGCAGGTATTAGTTCAAATGCAAAGTCTGCTCATACTAGCTCAGCACCCTGTAAATGCTTACACCACTTCCAGGTGCATGGGGGACTGACAGCTGAGCTGTGGTCCCAGTATTACCATTCCCAGTATTCCCTGTGAACTGGCATCTGAGGTGCACTGACACTGGTGCAATACACCAAGGTGCTGCATGGGGAAAGGATGGGCATGATAGATCCCCTTCCTTGTTGAAAAGCACCTCTTTTTTCCTTATTTTTTTTCTCCAGGAAGATACAGATGAAGGATCTTAGAGATGGTTCCTTTTTAAAAAGATTTTTAGTAATATAGGAAGGGAGTATGTATATTTTTGTTTTTCAGGGGTAAACTGCTGTGATAGTACAGTAACTTAGCTTGGAAGCAACTTTTCTCTGTTGTGATTCAAGTAATTGCAAACTTAAGTCTGCTTCAGAATAGTTTGTATTGAAAAGTACGGAGCAATAGACGTGTCCTGGGTTTAGTTCCAGTGATTTTATTCTGAATTGTTGCTGACTACCTGTATTTAAAGACATTTTCTTATAAATACGTTGGTTGTATCATGCTTCCTTTTGTCTGTGAATGTGAACACGAACAACTATTTCTTAGCTGAAATGTGTGTAACTTTCTCATTCATCTGGCGATATCATTCTTCCTCAACAGGGTTCATCAATTGAAACCCCTGTGGATGATGGAAATCTAACAGGTCTTCCAGTGAAGATACACCAGAAAGGTAGGGCCTTTCCATGAAGCTTTCCTTTCAGTCTGACAATGGAGTATCTTGGAGCTGTATTGAGAATTCCCACTTCGGGGAATGCTGTGCAGCCCAGTGAAGCAAGAGTTGTTCAGTTTTATCACATGCACTTATAAGCACTAAGCACATTCCTCTGCACTTTAACAACATACTTTGGGGGATGGCTGTAGAGCTGTATGCTAAGTAACTCTGAATATTTTATCAAAGGCCTATGTTGCAATTCTTCTGAAGAAATAACTCTTTGAAACCTGGAATGCAGGTCTAAAACTTGTCCTTTTGCCACACTAAGCTAGGCACAAGGCCACTGCTATGATGGCATCACTTCCAGTTGTCACTAAGACGCAATAGATGTATGATGTTCTTGCCGGTTATTACATGGGACAGCAAATTTTGTTGGTTCTCCTGATTGGTTGATGTTTTCTGCACATGGAAGTTGCCCTGGCTTTATATTAATATGGATTTGGCTGACTAGCTGTGCCTTAGCAGGCACATGTAAGAAAGTTGTCTGTATTAAGCACTTCTGATCACCTGTCCACTGGAAGAAAGTGGAGTGTCTGAAATTGTGCTGGGGAAGTTTGGACTATATGAGGAGTGAAAGTGCACATATATACAGAAAAATGTTGTTTTCTGATCCAGTGTGTAGAGCATAATGTATTCTGACACGAAGCATAATTAAGCCACTGGTTTCCCCATCAGAATACCTTCCAAGGGTGGACCTCAGACCTATGCTGATAAGTTAGGGAACATCAGTGCTGTCTGGATGCCCTACCCTTCCCCACAGCTGGCTCAATGAAAATCCTTCTTCATGCATTTATTTTTATTTTCCTCCGCCATCTAAAAAGCCAAGTGATCCCAAACAGAATTAATTCCCAACCCCATGGTGTTGCTTCTAATGGGTAGGAATGTCCTTTAATCCCAGGTTTATTCACTGCCCTTATTAGCTGGCACTGGGGAGCCCATGGGTAGACTGCCTGCCTGGTAGGTGCTGTAGCTGCACAAGAGTAATGATAGGCATCTTTTTCCATTGACAATACTAGTTTAAATTTGAGGAACAAGTGGATGTGAGGAACAAGTGGATTTGAGGAACAAGTGGATGTGAGGTGACTGCAGTCCTGTAGGAGGTGGAGACTGATCAACCAACATGGCTTGCTCTGTTTCTGTGGGACTGACTTGTAGTGGGAGCCTTTTCTATATTCGCAAACCAATTTACAAGTGGAATATACTCGAAACCAATCTCTTAAGAAAAAAAAAATAGGAAAAGTCCATTTAGGACTTCAGGATTTGGACCTTTCATTTCTTTCTGTTTCTGACATTGGAAAGGCTCTCCCAGGGGTTTCCAGAGTCCATGAAATCTGGGAATTACTCCTCAAAAGACCACTATCAAGGCCCGTTGTAGGGATTTTCAACAGAGTCTGTGTAGGAATGCTATGCAAGGAATAGATGTGAAGTATGAAAATACAGGACTACTACACATGCTTGCTGTATTAGAAAAGTTATTCATACTTATACAGTGTTTAATGCTATAAAATGTTCCCAGAGTGCCAAGTCCTGACAGGAGCTCAACTTTCAGCTCCAGGATCTAGAGCTCGCTACATGTCCAGCTTTCCAAACCCCAAATGCAGGCTATTTTGTCTTTCCTTTGTTTCAGCCACCCCTGCAAGTATCCCTTCTCCCACCCAGGAGTGCCGCCTTGGCTGTGATTTTTGACCTATGGTATTCTTATTCCCTCCTGGTGGCAGAGGGGTGGAAATACAAAGCAGGAGAGAGCCCGAGAGCAGGCTCTCATTAGCTTTTGTCTGTCAGCAAGTTGGGAACGTGCATTGCTCGGGCTGTTATAAAAGGCCCTTGTTAAGTAATCATATTTCTCTTGCATAAGTGTTTGCTTTCTGAAGGCTTTGGCCAATCAGAGGCTGCAGCTCACGGACAGAGAGCAGTTCTAACTACAGTGATTTGTTTTTAAATAATGCACAAGTATTAATCTGCTGAAAGTTCTGTAAAATCTCTATAGATAAGCCTGAGCAGCGGAGACGTCAGCAGCCGATGGTAGCTGAACTACAGCTGTAAGACTGCCAAAAAAACTCTGAACTGTGCGGATCGTTGTGAGTAATATTTCTGATCCTTCTAAAGGGTGTTTGTGGCTGATCACTGCAGGCAGGGAAATATTGCAGGCTCTCATTGCCAGCAATAAATTAGAGGGAGACCAGAGGTGAGAGACAGGCAGTGAAACTATTGACTGGCCTTAAAGTAATGCTTTCCTCCTAGACTTCCGTAAGCAAGTATGCATTTCTCTGAAGCTGGGTAATAAAGTCTATTCCAAATATGCTAATAAAAAAAGTGTGGTATTGAATTCAATTACAGGACTGTCAGGACAACGTAGATTTGGCCAGACAAGTGAGATCAAAGGACCATCTAGCCACGTATACTGGCTCAGAGTGGCCAACAATCTATATTCAAGGAAAAAAATTAAAGACTAAGGTAAGCACACAGTGATATTTCTTCTACCATGTTTTCCTGGTTTTCAGAATTCTGCAGAGCAGTCTTTTTCTGGAGTCAGAAAACATATTTTTAGTAGTACTTGTGGATTTTTCTTTTCAGAATTTGCTGGCTCAGTATATTTCTGAGGACACAAGTTGTTTGGGGATTGACAAATCTCATCAGGAAGTCTCATCAGGATTTGATATCTTTAGTTAATTGAGTTTTACGCAAGATTTTCATGAAAATAAATGGATAGCTTTCATTTTAAATGGAACTGAAAAGAAAAGGCTTGCACAAATTTAGCACAAAACAGTTTCCTATCCCACTTCCTTGTGATGTATCTGGATGTAGCTAAACCCATGAACAAAGCCCGGAACTGTAAAAACTACCCACTGAAGTGGGAACTGGAATTTATTAGTTAAATGCTGAGCAGCTTGGAACAACTGCTATTGTTCCTGCTGACCCTAGAAGACACTGAAGTGTCTCTGTATAGAAACGACAGTTGAAGTGCTGGGCTGTGAAGGGAAATAGTTATTGCCCATAGGGTGGATGCATGTATGCTTACTTCTACAGATGGAACAGAACTTTTTCTTGATATAACAATGATTTACTAGTGGAGATCATGTGGAGAGCTCAAGTGACTACTTAGAAACCTAGAAAAATGTAGTATATAGATTTTTACAGTCTATAGAGTTCATAAGACATGCTAAAGCATTTAAATCGTATTTGCAGTCAGTAGGAGGTGGTAATATCCCCATGAAAGGAAGTGATTATTTTGTAGTAGTTATGGGATTAGAGACGTAAATGTGGAAAGCTATCCTGAACTAAAAGGCATTCAGCTGCAAAGCCAGACTTTTATATTTCATATTTCTTTTCAAAAGTAGAGGAAGTGCTAGGCCTGTTGGCTTGGGTATAAATGCAGCAGTGCTATAGCATAGGCTGGGACCCATCTTTTACACTTGCTTGTTAACTACTTAGATTGCAACCTTATAGCATTTGCCCCGCACTATGCCAGTAAGGGATGGGTGGTGACAGTGGACTAATTGCTGGGTACTCGTGGATTGCTATTTGGCTTCTGAAATCTAGCAAGGGTTTTTTGCTTTTGTGACTCAAGTTTGTCCATAAACAAGGCAGCCTTCCTTCCCAAGTGTTTGTAAGCACATGCTCTCCATCCGAAACTTGTATGGGGTCTCCAGCCATTACAGTCTGGGGGGTGGCAAAGCGAGTTAACAGCCTGTCGTGGATGCTGTGAGACAGCTTTTTCACCAGACCATTAGATCAATTTATGGATCTAGAGAGTTTGTTTTTGTTTTGTTTTGTTTTTAAACTCATGAGAGACTATTTAAGATGCTACTATTAGAAATCTCTGAGTTGTCTGGTGAGTAACCCAGGGAAGTATCAGTTGTTTGCCCTGTTTTGGACTGCTCCCAGAGGATGCTGGCTCAAACATCCACCTAGTCAGTGTAAGGCCTCTCTTGTTCTTAAGCACATATGGGATTCTTCCCTCTCCTTTCCATCTTTGAGTTGTGAAGCTTTCCTCTGCAATTAAAATGGTTAACAGATTCATCAAAAATAAAATAAAATACAGCTAATAGCAGCTAAAACTGGAGTATTTACAACATTTCTTTTTTCTAAAATGGTCTCTGGGATGTGAAACAAACCTAGGCATAAATTAGGATAGACAAACAATATTTCTAATCTGTTGCAGGATAAAATGGACTCTATATACAAGCTGAAGATTTTTGTGATGCTTTTATCTGTTGCTACTTTCACAGTCATGGTGATACTGAATGCTGGAAATGCCACTGGATTATTCAAAGGTAATGCAAGCAATTGTTTAGTAGTCATTGTTTAGAGAGGTAGATCTTGTGTATCATATCACTTTATGGTATAATGGTGCCTTAGGTGCGCTCTATTTCCCTTCTCCAAATACACCCTTATCAGAGCAAGGAGGAAGCAGTTAGTGCATCCTCCAGGTGTTACAGACAGGTGCCTGAGCCCTTTCCAGTCCTTTTAAATTGAAGTAGTCTTGTCCCTGGTGAACCTGGATCTAGCTGTGGGTGAAAAGCAATTTTGACATATATTGCACTTGTATCCCTGGCTGAAGCTGTTCAGGCCCTGTTTATAGAGGGCAGTGGTTCTTGGTTTGAACACTATCCAGCTGAGTGTCACAAATGGATGCTGTGCTTCTCTCTGGCTCTTACATGTAACTGGCTTTTCTGGTTCTGTGCAAGAAGAAGATGCTCAGGGTTCCCCACAAGGGATAGTGATCCCATAATGGGTTTTTAAAGGCAAGGCAATTGCAGCATGTGGTTTGTTTTCAACAAGGGCATCCTCTCATCTCCCTCAGATCTATTGAGGTGTGGACTAAGCCTTGAGGAAGATTGCAGGGTGAGAAAACCAACAGTCTTTCCCCATCCTCCGTATGTAGTAACACATTAGTCTGCAATAACATTCACCACTGTAGGTCTGTTCCGGACAACCCCTGGAAACATCTCGGATAAGTACAACACTGACTTCACACCAGCTGGCTGGACTTTCCTCATCTGGAATGTCATCTATGCCTGGCAGCTTGCCTGGCTCCTGTACGCCTTGTCAGGGATCTGTCGAAGGTATTTTCCACGCTCATGGTGCAAATGATGGGGGGAGTGGCTCTTCCCTGCCATGGCTTGGCCTGTTACCCCACTTTCCTGGGGTAAAAAGGTAGAGTAAAATCACTGCCATTCCTTTTGACTTAAGAGGCTGAAGCTCTGGAGCTTCTTTTAGGCTCAATCCAAAGCTGGAAAGCAGTTTGAAGGTGTATGCTCTAATATGTGGGCAGGTTACAACGTAAACTGTTCTGTTAAACTGTTCTGTGATGCCTGGCTTCTGCTGATTCACGTGATCTGATACAGGCTGCTCAGTCACTACTAGATACTGCAAATCCACAGGGGCAAAATTTCTGAATGACAAAGCTAATCCTTTGAGTTTATTCTCTGGCAGAGGTCAGAGAATCAACACTGACAAGTCTCTCAGGTCACTGAATTGGATTTGAAGCTTTTCCCAGGGGCTATGAGTTCAATAACTGCCTCATGAGTTATCTGTAACATTATGTGGTAATTCCTGATAGGTTTTCAAGGGGGACCATGGATTACTTAGTTTGAGTCTTGTGTATTTACCGTTTTTACATGGCATATAAGAAGTCTTAGTTGACAGTGGCCAATGCTGAAAGAAAAATGGAGTGTTTGAGATTGATCAAGTCCATGTATGTGTGTACACACATACACAGATATACACTCACACTATGATCCTGTAAGCCTTTTTTCCCCAGGAACTGGGCAAAAATCCCCATGACCATTGCTGCCACCACCAATGGCATAGACTTTGGAGCACCTGTGGAGCAGTCAGTCTCTAGCACCCACTAAATCTGTGATAAATGCATTGGTCGTGCAGAGACCAGCAAGGATTTCTGTACCACAAGACATTGTTTTGATGGGGAAAGCCACAGGGATTATATTTTATCTCTGAAAAGGATGTGGAAGTAAAATAGTCTGATTTGAGCTGAAGTGCCCAACTGAAACATGAATTTCCTGTTAGCATGAGGATAATGAGGCCAGGAGTGCTTGGCTGTTCAATGCAGGCCTTGTTTTTCTTTTTCCATACCCACTTTTTCCTGACAGGAATGAACTTGGATGTGTATACATAAAGCCAGACTTGTTGCCAATACCTTTTTACGTGGCATGGATTCTAAATAATGGACTCAACGTTGGATGGCTATTTCTGTGGGACCGAGAGTAAGTCATGTTTTCTTTTTGTACAGGCTTTCTAACCCTCGTGATGGGACTGCTTAATTTTGAGCTTAATTTTAACCATTTGTGCTTAATTTTAACCATTTTCCCCTGTGTGTGAATGCTTAATCACACCTGCATGAAACACTATGGCAGGTCTTTAGTGAAAAGTAGCATTCATAAAAAAAATGTTAAGGGTTTTACAATGTTTTCATCTTGTCCATGAAGTGGATTGGTTGTTGAAGCCTAACATCTCCTCAAAGCTGCAGTTCTTCAGTGTTTTTTATCCCACAGATAAGACAAGATATGACACCCTTCATAAATGCAGTTAAGCTCCTTGCCTTGGATTGTTTTCATAATCATGCTCACACGAAGGGCTTATAATAGCACCACTGTCAAGAGGTGAAGAAATCAGCCGCAGTCAGGAAAATAATAACTTAATCATAAAGAGTAAAACAGCGTGTCAAAATGAGGGCTACACATAGTGATTACCTTTAATAAAGGCTTGATTAGCTTAAAGTCAGTAAAGGCCAAACAGTAAAACTATGAATTAAGGTATTGTGACACCACTAAAAATGCACTGTATGCCATGTGTATGTGTCTATGCTTTGTCCTAGATACCTCCTCCCAGCCCTGGTGATCCTGGTAGCCCTCACTCTTACCATGTATGCCGCTCTCTTCATCTCACACAGAGCCTTGAGTATCCATTCCTCGTGGTTTGTGAAGGGTCACAAAGCTGAACTCTGGCTCATCCGGATCCTAGTAGGTGGCATTTAGGAAATTGCACAGTTAGTAAGTGCTCAAAACAAACAAACAGGGAAAAAACAACCCACACCTCTGTGTAGTGCTAAAGGTGTTGAGAATGAAAGGTTCAAGGGCAGGAGATAGGGAAGGGGGGATTTCTGCCCTGACTCTAACTTGCAGGAGCACATAGGCTTAATTGTAGCTCAGTTTCTGATCAGACGTGATGGGAATGAATCAGAGCCAGTTATATCCCCCTCACTTCTCTAGCTGCTGCAGAGTGAAGTTTTCAGTGAAGTATTTTAGCCCAGATCTGTGTATGGTGGGGAGAGGAACACTTCTCGCAGAAGTGGGGGAATCACAATCCCTAAGGGTGACTTCTGTTATTGTGGCTGATAGAGATGTCCTCAGCATCCGACTAGTAAAAATTGTATTATATAAAGGGGTTAGGGTTTCAACCTTCCCGAGTTTTGCCAAATTCTGGTGGAAAATGACTTTTCTGCCATCCCTGAAGAGAGTGGGTATATATATTCAGCAAACTGCACAGAAAGAATAAAATAAACGTACACCATCACGCCTTGATCCCTCCCTGTGCCCTCCTCAGATCTGCTACCCCAAATCCTTCCTCCCCCACCCAGGAGCCCTCACACTACAGATCTTCTCCTGGCTGCTGTGTGTGCTTTAACTGCCTTTGGTTCCTTCGCTTGACGTTGGTGTTGCTCAGTGAGAAACTGGGTCAGCTGAAAAAGCACATCCAAGGAGCCAGGAGGGTTGTCAGCAGAGGGGGAGTCTCCAAAGCTGGGAGTCCATGCGTAAAGGTTCCTATCCATCCTGCTGGAATGTTTCTAGGTCTCTTGGCACAAACTGGGAGCAGGCATTTTTTTGTGTACCCTTGCATTTTGGTTCCTGAGACACAAGACAAGAGTAACATGGGGGATTGGGAGTAGCTGGGCTCCTTGTCCTTGCTCCAGAGTGACTCCAGCTCTCAATATTGCCTGCGGCAGGTTCCACATAGCAAATGTGCTTGCTGGGAGGTTTTTGAGATTCAAAACCTGTTTTCTCTCTGCCACTTAAGGCAGCCTGCAACAACAGGGCTGAGCAGCCAGGCAGACTGTGTACTTTGGGGTGTGTGTGTGACATAACCACTGAGGCTGCAGGGCTTCATACTGGGAATCCTGCAGTTGCCACTGGGGTGGATCTTGTGGGTATTTTGGCGACTCCAAAGCCTCAGCAAAACAAGAAAGAAATGATGCTAGTAATTACTATTTTATCCCCGTTTGTCTTCTTGCTGTGTGGCAGGTCCAGAACGGGCTGGCGCTGTATGCCACCTGGACCACCATTGCCTCTCTGCTGAATTTTGCTGTTGTGTTGATCTACAAGTGGAATGTGTCCAACGAGATAGCAACGACTACCTCTCTGAGCATCCTTACTCTCCTCCTACTAATATGGTAAGCAACCTCCTGGCTTCCTGCCTGGCTTGAAGGAGCCCTTCTACCTCTAACATCACCAACAGATTGGATCATCTGCCCCAATTCATTAATAATATCTGTCCCTGTACTGACACTGAGTACAATGGCCTCTGCAATTCATAGCTCACTTCTTCACTATTTATTTCTCCTCTCAATGAATAAAAACCTCCCCTCAAAAGCAATTTTGTCACCTCAACGTAATGCCTCCCATGGGGTGTTACATCAAGCAGTAAGCACCCATTCTCCATGGCGCTGCCCCTACTTTGAATGAAGCAAGAAAGTTTTTGGGTGTATTGAATTTAACCTTCACCTTAACAACCCTCCAGTTGTGGAAAATTTGTATCAAATAGGATTTTATTTTGTCCTTAAATTTAACATCAATAACTTTTCATTTAATCTTATCAATTTTAGTAAATGAAAGATTCTTGGACCCTGCTCTATGCTCCACATTGACCTGTAGCAAAACATTCCAAGTCTGATTCTTTTCTTACATTTCCCCCCCCCTGCCCCCTATAAAACTTATAGCTTGGACACATGTCACTTCTTTCTTCACAGGTTTTATCAAGAAAACTTCTTTCTTGACAAGTACGTCCGTTATAACCTCACTATCTACCCAGTGGTCATAGTGGCTCTGGCTGGCAGCGCGTGCAAGAACTTCTCACTCTCATCCCCAACCACCAATGGCATTTTTATAGGTGAATCTTTTTGGACTGTTTCCAGTTCTTATAAAAGAACTGTTTACTGGCCTTCTTCTTATCTACTTCTCTCCTGTGTGTTAGGAGCAGAAAGACAGACTTTCCTTTTGAATAATAGAATTTAAAAATAAAAAACAGAGCTAGAGATTTGTTAGAAGGCATTTCACTTTGCAAACTAAAGAGTGGAGCAGGGTGCTTCCCTTTGCAATTGAAATTATTGCTCATGAGCCCTTAGGCTTGGAATCAAACTTTATGTTGCCTCCAATTCACTTCCAGGTGCATTAAATTTGCCCTACAATTGTCCACCTGTGCTGTTTCAGAGAAGTTTGCCAGTTCTGGGAGCTTTTGGGTCCTCTGCTGGTAGCTCCCTGCCCTCTGACCCACGGCAGGCCAACAGAAGAGCAGGGCTGGGATAGAGACTGTGGACTTGGCCTTGTATCACCTGGGATACAGGGCAGGGCTTTAATTTCTGACCCAAGGAGAAGCTGTATCTGAATTCCACAATGCAGAGCCCTGCACATGTTCCCCTCCTACATAGAGCCCAGGCTAGCCTTGACAAGTTTTGCCAGGATTATTTGGTTGCTGCAGGCCACTGTAGCTGAGCTGGATGTAGTCATACATTGTAAAAGGGCTTAAGCTGTATAAATCCTGTACAGTCAACAGCCTGGTAAAAGCTATGCCACCATGAGTAGTTTTATGCTGGCATGAAAGGGACTGAGACGCGCAGACTCTCAACCCTGCTGTAGCAATTTGGGATTCCTATTCCCACCACAGGATCAGCAGAAGGGAGTGTAGTGCCACCCTACAGCCTTCCCAGTGCCACATACCAGTGGTTAAAGCCTAGACTTGCACCACTACCATCATCAAAGCCACTTCAATACATGTTCTCCTTCTGCAGTAAGGGCAGGGTGGGCAGCTGGGAGCCAGACCTTGCCTAAAAGCAGCCAGCAGGATTTAGCAGAGCTTGTCTGCTAAAGCCACGAGGCCACAGGTGGCTCCTGTCCTAATAGTTATGGCCACCAGGAATGTGAAGGTGTGTAATCTCTGGCAGACAGCTGTGTTCCTGCAGGAGGTGCTTCCACTGCTTTTATACCAGCAAAACTTCATTCTTAGTGGTTCAGCTTGTTTGGCTGGTAGGACAAGAATGTGCTTTTCCCAAACTAGTGCATGTTTCTTTATATAGTTCAACTATTCTTGGATTGTTTGGTTCATGTAATGCATTTTTATGCCTGTGTCCGTAAGATCTACCCCTTTTACACATCCCTTGACTGGGAAGCATTGGGCTAGCTTTACTGGAGAGCAGTGAAGCTTTGAAATCTGTGCCTTGCCCCACAGCAACTCCCTCATGGACGTTTCTGATGGGGGTATTGGCTCCTCTATAGCATTCTTTGTTTTTGTGCTAACCACTTTCCCTGAATGCCTGCTGTATTGGGAGCTAGAGTGAGACAAGGAGCACTGACTTTCTCTCCTCTGCTAACGTATTTGTGTTTCTCTTCCAGTTACACTGCTGGCAGTGACTTGTTTTATCTTTGCTGTTCGCCTGGGATTAGTCATCTGGAGGCACTGTAAGAGACCACTGGAAGCACCAAGAACCCCACATCCATCAGGCACAGTGGCCTGAGACCTCTGACATGGTGATGTTGTGGCAGATACTTCCGAGGGAGAAATGAGAATTGGGCATCCTGTATCCACTGCTCCTTCCTTCCAGTATCAATTGTCTTTTTTTCTCCTCTTTCTTTGTTCTGAATTATTAGGGCTTGTGTCTACAAATCAGCTCTCCTCCCATGTTCTCTCAGATCAGCTAGGCACAGCCCCACCTTGAATCTGCACCCTCCTTCATTTTTTCAACTCTGCATCAGTGGAGGAAGAGGTCCTGCAGCTGAGCAGCTCTGAAAACCTTCCTGATGACTAAGCTGGGGCTCTGCTCCTTCCAGTGTGATGAAGGCTGTCAAGAGATGCCTGGCAGGCTTGCACAGACAGTTGCCCACATTCTTTCCCTGAGATTTTGTTATGTTAAAGTGCATCTCTGGGTGAGCCGTCCCTGGGAGCTGTGGTGGGCAGTGGGAGGCTTCATTCCTTACTGACTTTGGCCAGCGGCCATCCAGCACTGGGCATCTGCAAGCCTCAGCCCTCCCTTTCCTGCTTCTGTTTGTCACAATGAGAACAGATGCTGCAAATCTAGAGATTGACTCCTGGGGTGTTAATTCTAATGTATGATGTGCAAGAGCAGGGTGGAGGGATGGCACAACTGCCAACCTATTTCAGGTTATTGTAGCTCTGATGACTAAAAATTGAAGATGCATTCACTTTTCAGCAGGTATTATGGTCTCTGGGCCTCTGCCGTGTTTTTTCCTGACTTTCTCAGCTAAGTTTGTTACTGTGTCAGTGACTCCATCTGTGGACCTGCAATAACAAGGATCTGTGCCTCTCCTGCTCCACCTGCAAGACAAATGAGATCTGGGTCAGGTGGGAGCAGTGGGTTGCTTTTCCCTGAGCTGTGCAGTGCACAACTTGTGCTGGCTGCCTGCCTCCTGCTGGAGAACAGCTTGTAGCTGCTCTGGCAGGAGGTCAGACATAACCACAAGATGATGCCTGATCTGAGTTGAAGCCTGCTCCTTCAAAGGGTGCCCGTTTAAAAATTAAACTCTTTTTTTTTTTTTTTTGGACTAGGTAGAGTGAGTTCATCCTAGCTGAGTGCTTTGTCACATGGCTCCACCACTGTTAGGAAGGCTGAGAACAAATTGATTGCATTGTCAGACCACTGCCTCTCTTTCCTGTACCTACTGGAATTGATGGTGCCTGGGTGGTGTTGGGAAAGTTTTCCCAAATTGCTGCTGCTTTCACATGCTGAATACCTTGCAGTGTTATTACGAAGGTGAATTCTCCTAAAATAGGCTCTTTTTTACATTTAACAAACACAACCTATGTTATGCGATTCTTGTCCCTCTCTTGCATTTTATTTTTAAATAAAGTTGCTAATGCCAGTGTTCTGTGTCAATATGCAAGCACATCACTTCTGCAAACCCTACACATGCCTAAAACAGAGCTCCTGGCTCCTACGTTGTTCATGCCCTGTCTTTTGCAGGGACCCCTCTGCCTTGCTGGAGCTTCCCCTCCTTGTGGGGCTGTGCAGGAGCATTGCTGCTCCTAATCCCACCCTCACCACCCCAAAACAAGCTGCAAAGAGCTCCTCAGAGGCCTGTTTCTGAGCACTGCTGAGGAGCCGCAGCAGCGCCACGTTCATCTTGTGCAGACCTCCCTGCAAGAAATCCCCTGGCAATGGCCCCAAAATGCTAGGGCTGGGTGAGCCCCTACCCTGGCCACCCACAACTAAGCTCCTGGCCCCCAAACCTCCTTCCAGCCTCGTTTCCCCAGAGCTGGGGCAGGCAGACGTTCCCACAGCCGTCCTGCCACAGTGAGCCCCTGCCAGCTCTGGGAAAAGCAGCTTTCCTTGCATCAGTGGCACGAACAGGAGCCTAAAAATATCAGCACCCCCCCCTCCCACCCCTTTCCTTTTAGCTGGGGGGAAAACAGGGTTGAAAACTAACAGTGTGAACCTTCCCCTTCTAGTTCGCAGCTGTGCTATTTTTAAAGGCCGTTCCTTCTGAAATGCCTCGGTTCCAGTTGTTTTCCAAAACCAGAAATACCAATGATGTGCGTTTTTCCCCACAGCGGATCATTCAACAAAGCTGCGTTTCACGAAGCCCCAAGCCTGCCAACATTTTTGCAAAAATAATCTGCCCAGCCTTTGTTTTCATGAGCGATTATCGGATTTGGGTGAATTTTACTGGATTTAAAATTTCTTGGAAAGCTGGTGGCATTAGGAGTACAAAACCTTTAAAAAAAAAAAAAGAGTTTGTTGTTGTTTCTTCTCTCTCTCTCTTTTTTTTTTTTTCTTTTTTCTTTTTAACTGAAAAATGTAATTCAGGGCCCTGTTAACTGCCTGTATGTCTCTCCTAGCCCAGCCTAGGATGAAACCTGAATCCCCCGATTGCCTTGCCTCCCCGTGGGGCTGGAGGTTGGAGCCACCTGGAGGATGACTGGAGCTGGAAGATGTATGGAGCTGGTGGAGCTGGACACCATGAGGTTCCTTGTAGGGAAAAATAAGGATCAGCCAAGCCACCACCAGGTAGGCAACCCAGTGCTGAGCCTGGGGTACCTCCTTCTGCTGGCTGGGGCCGGCCCCAGCTCGTCCTTGCTCATCCTCTGTGCGCAGCAGCCTCTATCCGAGGAAGGTAAGGGATTGTCCGTCAGTTTAGCACTGTTCGCTCCTGAGGGCTGGATGTTACCACAGCTGGGAGACAGTCGTGTTCAGTAAAAATTCCTGGGGAAATCTGATTTGGAAGAACTTCGCATCAAAGTAGCTGTGGGTCAGGGGAAATATGCATTTGAACCGAGTGAGCAAATATGTTAATTCAAAAGGAATTAAAAAAAAAATAATAATAAAAAGGCTGTAAGGTCCTGGGTCAGGCTCTCATTAAAGTCTGAGACTTCCAGAGAAAAACATGGCTCATTTCTCAGATTAGGACTCATCTCGTTCCTCTTTGGTGACCCCTAGAACGGAGGAGCTGCTGGACTCCACAGCTCAGGGCATGGTGCTCCTCCCATGATGGTCCTGGCCGTGTGTGGAGCTTGGTGCTCCTCCTGTGGTGGTCCTGCTCTGCTATTTGGTGCTCCTCCCATGAGGAGCTCATCCTCTGGGCTTGGGGCAAACCCTGGCTGTGCCTCCACTGCCTTATCTGCAAAGCCGAGAGGAACAGGAGCAGCCTCTGCGTAGAGGACAGCGAAGATCTGCAGATAAAAGCGCCAAAGACGACCGGCGATGATTAAAGGGATGCGCACCCTTTGCTGTGCGCGCAGTCTAAACATGCACGGGCCATCCCGGGCCCTTTGAAAGCTGTTAGATGCTTTAAAGCTAAATATTTATTTTATCTGCGCGGAGTCGGGACAGCCCTGTGTTGGGAGATTAGCTCAGCTCCCTCTGTCAAAGACATCTCGGCGAGGAGTCACAGGATCGGGCATGAACACGTGGGAAAAAATGCTGGATGAGCGCAAGATCCTGACCCTGCTCCCAGCAGAGCCTGCAGGGGCACACATCAGCCTCGGGAGCTGGAAACTTTGCCTCAAAACCCTGAGTGTCCACACCAGAAAGCTGTGTTTTTTCTTGCCTCTTGGGGAAGAAAGGAGCTCAAAAGCCCTCGGTTATGTTTAAGGCACTGAGAGAAGATGCAGCTCGCTTGGGACGGGACTGATTGGGGCCAGGGAGCATTGGAAGTGGTGGTGACACCATTTGGTAACTCGATTCGTCTTGATGTTGTTCTAATAGCTTTAAAAACTGGGCGGTGCTGGAAAGAATTTGGCTTCAGTGACCCATAACATGAATTATTTTCATCCAAGAGACAAAAACCCCAGTGTTTGTGCCTGTGCCCATGTGCGTGGGTGTGAACTGGAGAGCAGAGCATCCCCTGGCTCCGCAGGCAGGGCTGGTGAGCACGACATCGGCATGCTGAGAGCTGGAAAACGCTGCTACTGCCTTCCCCAGCACCAACGTGTATTTTCCAGGAGCAGACTGAAGGAACAGCTTGCTATGGAAAGCCCTCGGGGCTTTGAGAGGAGCAGGGTGGCTGAGCAAAAATGTCCAAGAGCTACGAAACAGCTGGTTGGGCTCCCTCACCCCCAGGCTCTATCTTAATCCCATTAAAATCAAACTGGGGAAAGCTTCTGCCCACTGGTGGGACTTTGGGGCTGCCCTCCCTGCCAAGTGCACCCTCCCAGCCACCCCGCTGCTCTTTTGGGGACACCTTGCTCCCCACAGACGTTCCTGATGGGTTGGCGTAGTGGATTTTGTGGGCACCTCCTGGTCTGGCAGAAAGGGGTCACCGCGTAGCTGCAGGTGTCAGAGTGAAGGGGCCCCGTGCACCTCACCTGCATGAATTGGGTGCTCACACGTGGATTGGGTGCTTGGCTGTGAAATGATGAAGTGCACACAGGTAAATCTAATAGGAACACACATGTAAATTAACCGTGTGCTCGTGCACGAGCTGGTCAGGCGCTGTGCATGAATTAATTGGGTGCTCATGCACGAGCAAAGGTTGGGTGCTAACGCATCAACTCCTCCAGAACCCATGAGTGAATTCTTTGCTTGCTCATGCTTGAGCATTTTGGGTGCTCATGCATGAAGTAATTGGGCTCATCCATAAATTAATTGGGCGCTCATGCATCAGCTAATTGGGTCCTCATGCACGAATTAATTGGGGATTCTCGCACGAATTAATTTGGTGCTTATGCATGAACGATTTGAGCTCCTGTGCATAAATTAATGGGGCACGCATGCATGAATTAACTGGGTGCCCGTGCACAGACTATTTTGGCAATCACACCTGAACTAATCGAGCTCCCACGTGAGCGCTGCAAATCCTGTTGTTTGTGCCCAATACGACCCACGATGACCAGACTGGCTGAGGGCCACACAAGGCATTGCATGGGGCGGTGCTGTGACACTGTGGAAATTTCTCCCCCTACCCAAGAGGCGTCCCAAGACGTCTGCTCGGGAGGAGGACACCACCCAACCTGCTCTGGGATGCACCCTGCTCAGAGCAGCAGGAGGAAAAGCTGCCTGCCTCACCCGGCTGGTGCGGTTTGTGAGGACGGGTGGAAAAAAACAAGGAGAAACCCTGCTGCACTTCCTCAAACGAGAACATCTCGTTCAGCCAAATGCAAAGCCGGTCCTCGAGGGCGCTCCTGAAGAGACGAGGAGACGGGGCGATGGCAACAACGCCGGTGCCCTGCTGGGAAAGTGGGAAAAGAAGCATTTGATAGTTATCACGGCCTTACCACAAAGCATATGCGCGCAGCGTCATAGCAAGGGCTCCGTCAGTGCTTCTGCACTGCAGCTCTGGGGAATTTGGACTCGCAGCTGGCATCAGAGCGAGGTGTCCCTGATGCTGGAGCAGCTCCAGCCCGCAGTGGCGATGGGGACAGCAAAGGCAGGCAGCAGTTTCTGCCTGACCCTGCAGCAAACTCAAACCGGGAGAAGTGGCAGATGTCCATCTGCTTTCTGCAGAGCTGGGGTAGGTGTAACCGTGCAGAGCTGGAAGGGGCATCCCGGACGGATGGTTTTGTTGGCAGAGCCCACCAGGAGAGGACTGAGACACCGAAGACAAAGCAGGTGAGGGCGCAGTGGGAGGAGAGCGTGTGATGGAGCCCCAGCATCACCTCTCCTCAGCAAGAGGACTGCTTGGAGCTGTGCAGGGAATGACTTTTCAGGAGACCTGGATGGTGCCAAGGCCTGAAGGAAGACTTGAAGAAGATCGTGGCAAACCCAGAAAAAAAATAATAATCAAATCTATTGCCTTGGAAGAAAGCCCTACCTGAATCCACGCAGAAACAACTTCATTGCCTGTAGCAGCGATGCCTGCTAAAGATTCTTCTTGAGATGCCTTCAGGCTGGGCCCAATTATTTTATTGAAAGCTGGGGGGGGGGGGGGGCAGTTCCCCAGCCCCAACATCTGAGCAGGAGACTGGCTCCTCATTCTCACAGAGCCGATCTGCTTGCTCAGGCTCTGGCAGATCTGCTCTGCCAGGGCCCAGGAAGCTCTGAAGAGCCTCTCGAATGCTCTCGATGGCTTCTCAAGGTAAACATCTTATGCTGTGCGTGCTGAAAATACCCACGGCACGGAGGCTCTAATGTGAAGAACCCCCAAAGGAAAGCAAAGGGAGCAGAGGAGATGGCAAGCAGGCAAGGGGATGGAGCTGAAGCCTTGAAAGCCTTTTTCTTTCTGAAGCAGCCCCATCTCCGTTGCTGGAAAGCTCCTGCACAGCCAGAGAGCCACCCTGGAGCCTCTCCTCTCCCACGCTGTATAAAACCACGCATCGTATTCCCTATCAAAGGGCAATAAACACACTTCAAGTGTGTTTATCTCCTGGCTGATGAGCTCAGCTTAAAAGCTCAATTTGCTAAGCTGGAAGGAGCTCTGCCTCGGCATAGCGAGCTCTCCGGGCTTCAGGAGGCTGCTGGAGAGCATCCACCCCGCGGCACAGAGCCATAATTCAGCCCCCGAGCCCAGCGCCCTGTGGCAGAGGCAGCACCGGGACTTTGAAGGGAGGAAGGAGGAGGCACCACGAGGTCCGGCCTCGTGGCTCCTGCCAGGACTGGAGGTGCTGGAGGTGCTGGGATGCTTTGGGAAGGAGCTGCAGACCCTACATGTACTCTTCGTTCCAGCTGAGCTCCTCTTCCTCTCAGCATTTCCCTGAGGTTCGGCATAGCAGGGAGCTGCTGGATGGTTTCTCCTCCAAGCCCCACCACCACCACCACCACCCCGCAGCATTGCCCCTGCAGGAAACGCCTCCCCAAAGAGCCCTTTTTTTCCTCCCGTTTGGGATTGCAGCTGAAAACGCAGCACGGAAACCTTCTCAGGCTGCAAAGGGGCTTTGAAGGGATGGTGTAGAGCACCATCTAGTGAAGGTCCATGAGGAAACCATCATCTGCAACCCCCTGAGGAGCTGCTGGTGCCTGCTGTGTCCTGCTCTTCCTCCTCCAGTGTGGAGAAACTCGGTCCCAGCTGCAGAGCTGATGGCAATCGGAGTGGAGCGCAGCTTCGTGGCTGCTTTTTTCCAGCTTTCTCCTGCCCCCCCGGTGGGAAGCAGGCAGCTAAATCAACATTACAACCTTTTTTTTCCTCTCTCTTCTCTTCTGAGGCGTGACCTCTCTACCTGCAACTTCAGCCCGAGCAGCTGGAGAGCTGCGATCCCCCTCGCAAAGCCCGTGAGATGCTGCCGAGCCATCTACCTGCCCCCTGCCAGCGCTCTAATTAAAGCCTTAAGGATGAGTTAACATCTCCATTTCTTTCCTTTTTTATTATTATTTTTTTTTAATGGACATGTTTGAAGTCTCTCATTGCTTTGGGCAGTCTGTGCTGTGACGAAGTTGTTAGCTGGGGACACGTCGCGAGTGGTAAATCGCTGCCACCACCCCCAGCTGGGGGCAGACAGGCCGGTGAGGAGCTGCCCCGTAGGGTTGGGGACAGTCTCCAGCTGTTCAAAACCCTCTAGAGGGAGCCCTGATCCCAAACATCCCCGGCTCAGGCCCTGCAAGACGACAGAGGTGCTGTGTGGGCGTAGAGATAAAGGAATTGTGTTTTGGTGGGGTGGCTTTTTTTTTTTTTTTTCAATTTTTTTCTTTTTTCTTTTTAAGGTTCCACACTGCCTTAATGTCCCCACTGAATGCAGGCGTGCTTGCTGGCTCCTCCTGCGTGTCCTGAGCATCCACACCTCTGGAGAGGGCCACCAGCTCCTTCTTCAGGTATGCCAGTACGGGATTTCCCTACGGGACCCTCATGTGGAGCAGAGATGCCCTAAAGCCCGTCAGGGGATGAGAGCCTGGCTCCCACCCTGTGCCTCTCGTCCCTCAGTAGGTGTGTGTGGCACGGGGATGGGCTGCTGTTGGCCCTGCTGCTGAAGAG